CATTACAAATGAATTCTACCAAACATTCAGAGACAAATTAGTGTCTATCCTTCACAAACTCTTCCAAAAAATTGAGAAGGAAGGGATAATACCAAACACGTTCTATGAAGCCAGCATTACACTAATACCAAAACCAAACAAGGACAACACAAAAAAGAAAACCACAGGCCAATCTCCCTTATGAACACTGATGCAAAAATCCTCTAAAATTTTAGCTATCAGAATCCAACAATGTATCCATAAGATAATTCACCACAACCAAGTAGGATTCATGCCAGGGACACAAGGATGGTTCAACATCCAAAAATCAATCAACGTTATCCAACACATCAACAAAAAGAAATATAAAAATCATGATAATACCAATGGATGCTGAGAAAGCTTTTGACAAAGTGCAATACCCATTCATGGTAAAAGCACTTGAAATTCTTGGGATACAAGGAACATACATCAACATCATAAAGGCCATATACATATATGACAAGCCAACAGCCAGTATCATTCTCAATGGTTAAAAGCTGAAAGCAATTCCATTAAGATCTGGAACAAGACAAGGATGTCCACTCTCACCACTGCTTTTCAATATAGTACTGGAAGTCCTAGCCAGAGCAATAAGACAAGAGAAAAACATACAAGGAATCCAAATAGGAAAAGAAGAAGTCAAACTATCACTATTTGTAGATGATATGATAATATACATAGAGAACCCCAAAAACTCCACAGAGAAACTTATTGAACTCATCAATCAGTTTAGTAAAGTGGCAGGATACAAAATCAACATGCAAAAGTCAGTACCCTTCCGATACACAAACAATAAATCTGAAGAAGAAGAAATAAAAAAAAAAATCCCTTTTATTATTGAAACAAAAAATATCAAATACTTGGGAATAAATCTAACAAAAGAAGTAAAGGACCTATACAAAGAAAACTATAAAACACTGTTAAAAGAAATAGAAGAAGACACAAAGAAATGGAAAGACATCCCCTGCTCACGGTTTGGAAGAATAAACATTATTAAAATGGCCATCCTATCAAAAGCAATATAAAGATTCAATGCTATTCCAATAAAAATCTCAATGTCTTTCTTCAAAGAAATAGAACAATTATTGATGAAATTCATATGGAATCACAAAAAACCTGAATAGCCAAAGCTCTCCTGAAAAAAAAAAAGAAGGGAATGGAGGCATCACACTCCCAGACTGCAAACTATACTACAAAGCCATAATCATCAAAACTGCATGGTATTGGCACAAGAACAGACACACAGACCAATGTAATCAAATAGAAAATCCAGAAATAAACCCACAGATTTATGGTCAACTAATCTTTGACAAAGGAGCAAAGACTATGCATTGGAGCAAAGAAAGTTTGTTTAATAAATGGTGCTGGGAAAACTGGGTTGCTACATGCAAAAGAATGAAGCTTGACCACTACCTCACACCATACACAAAAATCAACTCAAAATGGATTAAAGAACTAGACATAAGACCTGAAACCATAAAATATATAGAAGGAAATATAGGCAAAACACCTACGTGATATGCACATCAAAGACATCTTTACAGATACATCACCCAAAGCTGTGATAGTGAAGGCAAAGATAAACAGCTGGGACTACATCAAATTAATGAGCTTCTGCATAGCAAAAGAGACAATAACAAAAACAAAGAGAAACCCCACCAACTGGGAGAACATTTTTGCACTCAACACTGATGATAAAGGACTGATCACAAAAATCTGCAAAGAGCTGATTTGACTCAACAAAAACAAAGAAAATAATCCAGTCAAAAAATGGGCAGAAGAGCTAAAAAGAAACTTCTCTGAAGAGGAAATGCAAATGGCCAACAGGCATATGAAAAAATGTTCAACATCACTTGTAATCAGGGAAATGCAAATCAAAACTACCATGAGAATGGCACATATTAAAAAAAAAACTAGCAACAACAAATGTTGGTGAGGATGTGGAGAAAAAGGAACTCTTCTACACTGTTGGTGGGAGTGCAAACTGGTCCAACCACTATGGAGAGCTGTGTGGAGATTTCTTGACCTGCTAAACATAGAGCTTCCATATGATCCAGCAATTGCACTCCTAGGTATTTACTCAAAGGATACAGAAACATTAATTCCAAAGAGCACCTGCACCCTATGTTTATAGCAGCACTATTTACAATAGCTAAGTGGTACATATACACCATGGAATATTACTCAGCATTCAAAAAAGATAAACACATGCAATTTGCAGCAACATGGATGGTTCTGGAAAGGATCATGCTCAGCGAAATAAGCCAGAAAGAAAAAGAAAAGTACCGGATGGTCTCACTCATAGCAGGAGTCTAGAAAACTTAAATAAGGAACCCAGAAATGAATAACTGTAAGAAAGTGAAAATCAAAATCAACCAAAAACTATGAACAAGAGACACTCTGTGGTGGAGAGGGGGTGGGGAGGGGAGGGATTGGGGTCAAAATAAGGGGTTGCAATTGTATGGGGAATATGAAAATAAAATTTATTTTAAATAAATAAAGAAATAAATAAATCACATCTATAGATACCATATTATGATTGATTACATCATGTTCCCTCCTTATTTAACCATCTTCTTATAAAAAGGAAATCATCATTTTTTATAATTAGAAATGAATATATATATGATAATATCTAGCAATGGGAAATAAGATAATACTTCAAATCAAGTCCTGCATGCTACTAATAGTGAAATCTCAACAGGATTATTTAATTAGTGATTAAGAATAATTTCATTCTACTGAAATCTACTGTTCCTGAACTTCTTTTATACACTAAATGTTTGAAACATACTTTCATGGGATATATCATTTAGCTGTAATTATGCTTTGGGTATTTAAGAGAGCAAGAAGGATGTGTTGGTGTATAGTGAGTAAAGGTAATTAGTTAAGAATAGTTGTGTGTATTGAGTGTGTGCATATGTGCATACACATGCACTCACACAAGTCATGGTAAGAGCTCTAGGTCTAGGTAAAGACTGACTACTAGTTATGTAAAATGGAGAATCATTAGAGGTTTTTGAACAATAGTCTGACATTTGGATTCCTCTTTTAATTGAATTATTGTAAATAATGGGAAAGGATATTGACAATTTTATAGACTCATAAACCATAAAGAGCTATTGCAGATTTTTAAATAAAAACAGTGATGAGTGGTGGAACTGATAAGAGAACCAGGTCAAGAAAAAACCTGTAGGAATTACTAGGTTTATGGCATCTTGTAGAAATGAAATTACTATCAACTCACAAGAGGAAGACTCTAGGTAGAGAAGATATACTGTGGCTATCTACAAAAATAAATAAGGAAACAAAATTATGATATATTCCATATTTTAAATTTATAAAAGAGCATGCTATTATGCTATTAGATAGATAGACACAGACAGACAAACAGATAGCTAGCTAGCTAGCTAGCTAGATAGATAGATAGATAGATAGATAGATAGATAGATAGATAGATATACATACACTTATGTGTGTGTGGGTGAGTGGGTTTGAATTACATGTTAGAGTTAAGTTAGATTAAGTTAGAAACATTTGGATGTTTCATATATATTTTAAGACAAAGTATATTCACCTGAAAAATTTTTAGCTGAAATGAATGCTAAAGTTCTTTTTGTATGCAATAAATCAAATACTAAGAAAAATCTATTAAAAGACATGGGATCAAAATCTTAATAAATAGGGCCTCCCTAGTGGCGCAGCGGTTGAGCGCTGGGTTGCGAAGCTGCCTGCAGCCTCTGCAGCGTCGGTTCAATCCCCGGCTGCTCCCAGGCCACCGGAGGAGGGTCCCGCATGGCACACAGACCTCTCCTGCCGCCCGCAGCTCCCCTCAGCAGTGTACTTCGGTCCTTCTGCCTGCTCTGCTCCCCGCTCTGGCTCTGGTGAATTCTCTCACCCTCCCGCGCTTCTGACTGTACCCAGTGCTTGTATAATAAATAAAAAAAAATAAATCTTTAAAAAAAACCTTAATAAATACAATATATGAGGTTAGAAGGTTAAATGTAAATGACTAATTAAGTCTAAACAGATACATTGGCTATGACATAAGTACAACTAGAAGAAAATGGCTCATTTTTATTATTTCACTGTATTAAATTTGCACAACTGGATCAATAAATTACATTATAGGCATTTTAAACTGGAGATATTTTTGAAACATTTATAGTCTAAAAGCATAAATGTGAACAAACATATTACTTAACTAAAAATTTAGAGTAAAAACTAGTCTTAACCATTTAAACTAGATAAAAATATGATGTAATGTCTGTATCTGTGAATTCATTAACTATTTTAATTAAAATAACCTCAAAAAGGTGCTTATACTTGTCAAAGATTTTTAATTGAACCCATAGAAAAAATAAATAATTAAAGCAATGCTAACCCTTTGTAAAATAATCAAAATCACTTTAATCAAAAATAGAATTTAGGCCCTCCCTGATGGCGCAGCGGTTGAGCGCTGGGCTGCCAAGCTGCCCGTAGCCTCTACAGCACCAGTTCGATCCCGGCCACCGCGAGGGTCCCACATGATGTGCAGACCTCTCCTGCCACCGCTGCTCCTCTCAGCAGTGTATTTCAGTACTTCTGCCTGCTCTGCTCCCCGCTCTGGCTCTGGTGAATCCTCTCACCCTACCGTGCTTCTGACTGTACCCAGTGCTTGTATAAATAAATAAAGAAATCTTTAAAAAAAAAATAATAAACCAGTTTGCATTCCCACCACCAACAACAACAAAATAGAATTTGAAATTAAAAACCCTGTTTTTTTTTTTTTTTTTTAATGGGACCCTTGCCGGTAGCAGGGGAACCAACTGGCGCTGCAGAGGCTGTGGGCAGCCTCGCAGCCCAGCGCTCAACTGCTGTGCCCCCAGGGGAGGCCCCCAAATCCTGTCTTTTTTGATAGATGTAACATTTATATCAATAAAGGCCAAATTTTCATTATCATAATGAACATTTTAAAAGCATATCATTTCAAGACATACCTTTAGTTTCTCCATCATCCCAGAAAAAATCTCCATTTGCTGTGTTATTTTCATCTAATGCAACTATAAGTCCTAGGGCATTCTTCCGGCTGTTAAGTTTGGGTACATAAATAATTAACAATAAATGTATTGTATAGAAATATTCAATAAATAAGACTATTTTGATCTGATTTGTAGAGTTCCACATTCACATGAGACCATTGATATTAGTAAAATCCATGCTTATTGTTATTCTAATTCAATAAGAAAAATAAATTATACAATTAGAAAATACATTATAGTAATAAATACACAACACTGACATTCTTGGTAACTATGACACCAGCAAAATTGAAACTGTATCACAATAGTTAATTCAAACAAGAAAATTTAAATATATCTTAATGTAGCATCTATTGGGCTATATCTATATACAAAATAAGGGAAGTACAATTTTTAATGTTCAGTAGAGTATCAAATATTCTTATAAATGAAGCTATTTCTATGCTGAAAAGTGAGATATGATCTATATTTTTTTCTCAGTTATAAATCACTATAGTTCTTATTTTATTTTTTTTTTTTAAGATTTATTTACTTATACAAGAACCAGGACAGGCCAGATGCAGGAGGGTGAGAGGATTCACCAGAGACAGAGCAGGGAACAGAATAGCCGACTGATTGGAATACACTGCTGAGGGGAGCAGCAGGCAGGACAGGAGAGGTCGGCCATGTCATGTGGGATCCTTGCCAGCCGGGATTGAACCCGCTGCAGACAGAGGCTGTGGACAGCTTCACAGTGTGGCGCTCAATGGCCTGCGCCACCAGGGGAGGTCCAAATCACTATAGGTTTTGAACTCATCTATATAGTTCAGGAGAGTGCTCTGTATAGTATATATTTCTTCCAGCTTGCACTGCAAAAAGTGTGAGTTTCTCTTGTTCAATACAGCTCTAACCAAACTTTTTGAGAACACAGTCATGGAACAGTTACAAAATAAAAAGAATATATTCTAGAATGCTAAAATAACGAAACACTAACATTTATTCATTTTTTGTTTGTTTGTTTCCTGCCATGAAATACAAATTTTGGAGACTATGGAACTTATTATGGGATAGACCCCATTATTATTTTGGAGACTGAAGTTAAGACCTTGCCTTCACAGAGTTTATATCATAGGGATTAAACAAAAAATAGTAAATGATATAATTTTAGATGATTCATATTGTTATGAAGTAAACATAGCAGTGGATTTGTAGGGTGGATGACTATCTGTTGGAGTGTTGCTGAATTTGGCAAAAAATAATGGATTCAATAGTATACCTTTCATGCCTATGTACCCAGAAGTAATTATGTAAGATGGAGCACCAGAATTTTCAAATTTTTTAAAAAATAATTCTGGAATTTTTCCTTTACTAGAAAATTCAATATTTTGTCTTGTCAGTTACATAATCTGAACTATCTACATCATTTATCAACTTAAAAATAACACATTTCAGGAAAAAGCAGCACAACATGATGGTTATGTATTGAGATTCAAATATGTTTAAAATTGATGTGCATTACTATTAATTATATACCTTACATTGATAGTTTATATTTTATTAAAATAAAAAATTATCGGGCCTCCCCAGTGGCGCAGGGGTTGAGACTGGGTTGCGAAGCTGCCTGCAGCCTCTGCAGTGCTGGTTCAATTCCCGGCTGCTCCCCGGCCACCAGAGGAGGGTCCCGCATGGCACGCAGACCTCTCCTGCCGCCCGCTGCTCCCCTCAGCAGTGTACTTCGGTCCTTCTGCCTGCTCTGCTCCCCCCTCTGGCTCTGGTGAATTCTCTCACCCTCCCACGCTTCTGACTGTACCCAGTGCTTGTATAAATAAATAAATAAATAAATCTTTTAAAAATAAATAAATAAAACCCCTCCACTTAAAAAAAAAATCAAAAATTATCTTTCATTAAAAACATTCTATAGAGAATTTCATACATTTTGTCATAGGAAATAATTTGTAATCTAATTATGTTCTCTTTTATTTTTTTGTCTCCCCCCTTCCCTCATTAGGCAGAACAAGGAATATGGCATCTGCCATTTTTATGGAGTTGTCTCTGTCACACAACTACTATAGTCTCCTCTGTTCCTTGAGCAGGATTCCAAACTGCCTAGAAAGCTTTCTTTACATTGAAATGCTTGACTCCTCCTTTTGTTTCACTTCTTAGCCCAGAACTCCTTTCTTCAAACTGGACTTCTCTGATAATGCCATCTAAAAGATGCCCTGTCGTGTTGCTCTCAATCACTCTGTTTATTTCTGTAACTATATTATGAAATTCTACACTTCTCATTTATTTATTCATTACATCCCTCCTTCCTACAATGAAGACTCATTATGTCATCATTTTTTAAAGATTTATTTATTTATATAAGAACTAGGGTACAGGCCAGATGCGTGGGAGGGTGAGAGGATTCACCAGAGACAGAGCGGGGAACAGAACAGGCAGACAGACTGAAATGCACTGCTGAGGGGAGCAGTGGGCATGGCAGGAGAGGTCTGCCGCACCATGTAGGACCTTCGCTGGCCGGCAGGGATCAAACCAGCATTGCAGAGGCTACAGACACCTTCATGGCATGGAGCTCAACTGCCTATGGCATGAGGGGAGGACCCTCATTATGTTATTTTTTATGTATTTTATTTAGTTAACTACCATTATTTTACATCCTTTGTTCATTTTTCACAATAGGATTTTCTTACACACTTAGGTGTGATTATCATAGTTTTCCCACCACCAACCCTCCATAAATCTCCACCACAGCCATGAGGCTTCCAGGGGTGGAGGGAGGAATGAGAGGTAAAGAGGATGGTGAGCACAAAAGACTATAGTCTCCTTTAACTAACAATTGTTTTTTCTTCATTTTCAAATTTATTTCTATTTTGTATGCACAGAAGAACTAGGGTGTAGCCCAGATGTGTGTGGGGGTGTGTGTGTGAGGATTCATCAGAGACAGAGTGGGGAGCAGAACAGGCAGACTCACTGAAATACACTGCTGAGGGGAGCAGCAGGTGAGACAGGAGAGGTCTGCTGTACTATGTGTGTTAGCTCGCTGGCTGGGGATTGAACTCATGCCACAGTGGCTGGTGATAATTTGGTAAAGCTGAGGGTGTAACCCCTGTACCACCACAAAGGCCCAACAAAAATTTTAATAGTACACAAAATAATTGTTGTTTGTTTTTTTTGTTTGTTTGTTTTGGTTTTTTTTGTTTGTTTTTTTTGTTTTTTGAAATCATGAGGCTTATAGTTAAGAACCCCTCTGTTAGGGGGAAATGATGTTCTGAGCTAATCCCATACAGGTTTTGTGGACTCCACCCCCACTCCAGACCAAAGCCATCAAGACATTGGGAAAGACAAATCCCGTCACCACCAAAGGGAAGGTGGCTGGGACCTGAGGGTGGAGTTGGGCAGCCAGGTTGGGTATAAAAACCAAACACATGGACCTTGGGTCTCTCGCTCTGTCACTAGCCTCCTGGCTTCACGGCTCCTGGCTTGCGGCCAGCTCGCAGAGTGCCATTTGGGATTCCAGATCAGCAGATCGGGTAGGAAGCATTTAAAACTTAGTCTCCCATTTTTCTCCCTGAGTTGTACATTCCCTCATTTGCCCTTCCCTTGTAAATAAACCTTTTATTAACCTTTCCTATGTGCCTGCAGTAGAGCATTGATAAGTCCTTTTAAGCGCGAGGGTGAGGACCCACAGTCAGGCACCCCGTTTTGTATCGGTGCTGCCCTATAACACCTCTATATGGCAAATATCTGGTGAGAAAACTGAACAAAATATTTTATTCTTTCTTGTTAATTTTAATTGAAGTAATATTGATTTTTAACATTATATAGCTTTGGGAATATTGCATTATAAAACAATATAGTATATGTTACTTTAGCTCACTACTAAATGTCTATTTCCAAAAATGTGAAGTATTAAAACAGACTACATGTCATATTTCAAGTAATGATTTTTAATTTTACCTTGCAGTTGTAGTTACATCAGGTTGTTGAATGGGAAGAATATAACCTCCTCGAATATGTAATCCTATTTTGTCTCCTGGAAGGTACATATCAACACGTTGTTTTCTCCATGGCCTTTTTGCACCCTAATATTTGGAAATTAAAAAAAGTTTTTTTATTATTATTAGTGAAGATGTTATACTCATTTCACAAGAATTATAATTTGCACATAGACATTTCTTTTTTATTTTAGTAGATAATTCATCTAGGTGGATATTAATATATTGAGTTTTTTTTTAAAAAATATTTTCATTTATGCATACAAGAGCTGGGGTACAGGCCAGAGATGTGGAGGGTGAGAGGATTCATCAGAGACAGATTGAGGAACAGAACAGGCAGATTGACCAAAGTACACTGCTGAGGGGAGCAGTGGGCAAGTAAGGAGAGGTCTGCTGCACCATGTGGGTTGCTCACTGGCCAGGGACTGAACTCATGCTGTGGAGGCTGTGGACAGCTTCATAGGTTGTGTCTTAATTCCTTGCACCACCAGGGAGGGCCTAATATATTGTTTTCTAACTTCAAAAAAAAAAAAAAAAACCCTCATATATGTGAAATGATTTAATACCTGTCTTCTCCTTGTTTCATTTAGCATAATCCTCTAGGTCTATCCATTTTGTCACAGATGGCAAGATTTCACCTTTTTCTGTTAATAGCTAAATAATACTCCAGTGTGTATATACTTATATACACCCCACACCTTCATGCTCCACTCATGCGTGTGATAGAGAGAAACAAAAACAAAGATATACAACAAAAACCAAAACAAACCTTAGAAAACTGACTATAGATAGATTTGAGGCAATCAGAGGGGAAATATGTGATCATGGAACAGAGGTATTAGGGATCCTAATGGGTGATGGTGGAGAATACCGTGCTTTTGTGGTAGGGTGATATGGTAACATACATCTGAAGAGGTGTGAAGCTATACCTCAAAATTAAATAAAGGTTGTTAATCAACATACCTCAATAAAATAATAAAACAAAAGTAAAAAAAAACCAAAAAAACTATCAAATTACTATAGTTTAAACATGGGATAAAATATTATATAACTTTAAAAATGAATAAATGAATGCAGCATACTTTTTTTTTCCTCATATGATGAAGCGCTTGTTAGTATATATTGTTACAAAAAAAAAAAGAATCAAGTTAAAAAAGATAATAAACCAACAGACATAACTTATATTTTCAGTTTATGGAAAACAAAAGGAAAATAAGATCAACTGCTCAAAAAAATAAATAAAACAACATAGAGAAATCCATTTTTCCTTCTACAAATAGTTAACAATTAGAAATTAGTACTTTTAACTAAAAATAAGCTTCTCCAAAGAGGAAATGCCAATGGCCAACAGCATATGAAAAAATGTTCAACTTCACTTGTAATCAGAGAAATGCAAATCAAAACTACAATGAGATACCATTTCATACCAGTACATATTAAAAAACACATATTAAAAAAACTAGCAACAAAAAATGTTGGCGAGGGTATGGAGAAAAAGGAACTCTCCTGCACTCCTGGTGGGAGTGCAAACTGGCACAACCACTATGGAAAGCTGTGTGGAGATTCCTCAACCTACTAAAGACAGAGCTTCCATATGATCTAGTCATTCCACTCCTAGGTATTTACCCAAAGGACACAGAAACATTAATTCAAAAGGGCACGTGCACCCCTATGTTTATAGCAGCACTATTTACAATAGCTAAGCTTTGGAAACAACCCAAATGCCCAAAAATAGATGACAGGATCAAGAAGATGTGGTACATATACACAATGGAATATTACACAGCAATCAAAAAAGATAAACTCATGCAATTTGCATCAACATGGATGGAGCTGGAAGGGATCATGCTCAGCAAAATAAGCCAGAAAGAAAAAGAAAAATACCGGATGGTTTCACTCATAGCAGGAGTTTAGAAAACCTAAATAAGAGACCAGGAAAAAGAATAACAATAAAAGAAAAAATCAAAATCAACAAGCAACTATAAACCAGAGACACACTACGGGTGTTGGGGGGAGAGGAGGGATTGAGGTCAATACAAGGCAGGTGCAATTGTATAGGGAATATAACCAAGATGAAAATGCATACATTGTGCAAAAATGAAAAATGATGTAAGAAATATATAAAAAATAAAAAGAAATAAAATAAAATAATGAAAGTAGTTCTTTTTTCCATTCTTCATTTGATTTATGGCTAACTAGTTGTAGGATTATTATTTTTAAATAGGTTTCTATAAAAATAAAGGATTTGTTAAATAAGTTGTAAATTTTTATATTAGTTTGTTTAGTAAATATAAACAATTTGCAAAGTAAAGTCTTTTAAAAAGAATACATCTCAAAAGAGCTCAATTAAAAATGTTGGTTGTGGGCCTCCCCGGTGGCACAGCGGTTGAGCGCTGGGTTGCGAAGCTGCCCGCAGCCTCTGCCGCGCCGGTTCAATCCCCGGCTGCTCCCTGGCCACCGGAGGAGGGTCCCACATGGCGCGCAGACCTCTCCTGCTGCCCGCTGCTCCCCTCAGCAGTGTACTTCGGTCCTTCTGTCTGCTCTGCCTCCCGCTCTGGCTCTGGTGAATTCTCTCACCCTCCCGCACTTCTGACTGTACCCAGTGCTTGTACAAATAAATAAATAAATAAATATTAAAAAAATTTAAAAAAAAAAAAATGTTGGTTGTGTATGAATTCTAAGTTGTCTTTTCAAGATAGAATTTACAATGCATTCCAAATATTGAAATGTACCCGATAAAAACAAATGCTTAAGAGTAGCTTAATACTTATGTCTTCTGACAATTAGATAAATATATAGAATAGAAAAAAATAAAATAAGCCACCAGTCTTTCCTAAATTCTCCCAACCTTTTATATCCACAATTAAAATGTAATATAACTATAGAAAGATAAATTTATATTAATTATATGTAACAAAATGAATACTGACACAAACTTTTATACATTTCTCAAATTTGATTTTTTTAATATCAAAATTTTAGAAATATATATGCTGTGTATTTGGAGTTAAATTCCATTCACATTTTTCACATTATGATATTTATAAGCCTATTTTTAAACTAATGTTACTTACAGTTTCATAATCATACCAAGTGGCATCAGGAATGTATGCGCTCACTATATCTGCTCCCTAAAATAAAGCAAGGTAATTATCAATTATATATACATATATATGTTTGTAGTTTTTACTTCAATACTTAATAAAATAGAATATCTCATCAAAATAAAGTCCAGTTTTCATATTCACTGAACTAAAATTTATTTGTATTTTTTATAATTCAATATTTTCTATGACTAGGATACAAAATACAATTTCGTAGTTTTAGAGAATATCATTATATAAAACTTACCAAAACAAAAATTGAAATCAATTTCAGTGATAACTAAAATAATGCATAGAGGCATTTGTATTGTTATAATCTACATTGTAATTGTGAATGTGAACACATTTATTTCTGTATATTTTCATGGACCTATAGACTTAACTAGATAAAGACAACTCTCTCATCAATTTCAATATACATATCTCAAGTGAGGGCTTTTTTTTATATTTACTTTCGATTCCATAAATAGAACTTTCTTCTTAAAATGAATACTTATTTTACACAATTTTTCTCCCCAGTTACATATTTATTTGAAATACAAATATTTATTTAATATTTTTGTCATTTTTCAAAATTTCACCTATATTTGGCAGTTTGAAATAGTCAATTAACATCTATTACCCCGATATTTTTGTAATTTAATATAGATTTGGCTAAACAAATTTCCCTTTAAACAATGAATTTGTTAAATTTGTAAGACCTACCTGCCTCAAGACAGGGGTAATAAGTAATGCAGGACCCCATAAGAACTGAGTATCCTCAATCCAGCTGTTGGTATCACTATAAAACCTAAGAACAATGACAAAGTTAGCAACATAAAATGTAATTTTTTTTAATCTAACTTTCCAATTTTGTTTATCTTTTCAGTTTTTCCCTAGGAATGACTATTAGTTTTAATTGTATTTGATTTTTTTGAATATGTAATTTTTGCATACTATGGTTCATCAAACAAGGAAGAATAAATAAGGGAGGGAGACAGGAATGGAGGAAGAGGTAAAATAAAGGAGAAAAGAAATTAGTTCATTTAATATTAGAAAAAACCTATCATGTGATAATTTTATAAATGTATCTTATCTGCAATAATAACTATTAATTTTCCATTTATTTTTCCTATAAGATTATTTAATAAAGTTCCAGAAATCTTTCTAGTTCTACTTTTTTTTCCATTTAAATGTTTTCATGATGAATTCCCCTTTGATTTGATTAGTCACGTTTTGTTTTAAAAATTTTTGTGCTATTTTATTTTTATTGAAGTAACACTGAGTTAAAACAGTATATAAGATCCAGGTGTGCATCTCTGTAAAGCAACATAAGTATATACTGCATGAGGAAAGGTCTTGCTTTGGTCAAGATATACAAAAGTAAGCAAAAGTCACTGATTTCTAACAAAACAATAGTCTTTATTTAAGGTGATTTTCGCAATTTATACATGTTTTCCAAAAATGTATATTTAATTTTACTCATATAATATCTCTAATGTTTTCTGTATATTTCTTTTAAGTTTTATTTAGTTCTCACATTTCTAGCTTTATATTATCTAATCTACCAAATTTATTGTATTTTGTACTATCATCCTAGAGCCCATTACATTATTTAAACAAATGTAAAAATAAGCAGCAGAAACCTAACTGGGATATCTTTATTAAAATCACTAATTTTTCATTAGACTTCTAAATATAATTTGAAAGGTATTTAAATCATTGAACATAGTACTCACTCATGAAGAAATGGCCTTGCCACTGTTTCTCCAAACACATGGGCTTTATAAAACAGAGTATAGAGGAAAGGTAACAAGGTGTAACGAATATTCAAGTAGTGCCTTGATGAATTAACCAAAAGAGAATCCTGTCCAAAAAATGCTGGGTCCTGATGCTATGGGATAAAATGAGAAATTGAATAAAAAACGTAAAATATGAAAGAAAATTAAAATAAAGGTGCTTAATCTATTTTTGAAAAGCACGCATTCTGACTTTATAAAAAACTCTTCATCATCAAAATATAAAAGTATTTATAGTTTCTTGCCTTCATTTGGATATATGCTTTATTAAACTCTAAACTCTATTTTAAAGTCATCAAAATGAGGGTGCTGTCATTGAATAGGCAATTCCACAATGAAGGGTCATACACGTGTACAAACTACAAGGAACAACAAATGAGAAATACTCAGAATTTTCCAGACATTGGACTAAAATACATAGTTATATCTGAACTTATAACCAAATAGTCTACGTTAAATGAAGAAAATCATAAATGTTAAGAGGAAGTTATTAAGGAAAGTAAAAGGAATTGTGTTATATTTTCTAGGTAACACAAAAGGCCAGCCGCACTATCTTTAGGAAATGTGAACTCAGTACAAATACAGTAAATCCATCCTGAAACAAGCATTTCTTATTTTGTAGCAAGCTTATATTTGTGTCCCTATCTTCACCGGACCTTACACATTAAGTTTAAGTAATCCTATGATACCATTCCAATTCTTGTTTGATTGTGCTAAAAGTCTGATCTACTAACAATGTCTTACACTTGCTTTTTTATGCTTCTCAGCAAACTCAAATATTGTCTTTTTTTAACTGTTTCTTTCATAGTTACACAAGAATCCAGAGCTGTATGTAACCAATGTGGACCCAAGTGATGGGAAATAATGTACTTTTTACTAATACACTTTATTTTCTGGTAGTGCTGGGAAAGCCACAGAGTTCAAGACCATGTTCTACAGATGTATACATAGTGTTAAATTTGTTATTAAGGCTGCTACTTGCAACCATATTTTTGAAACTGTCTTTAATAAAAGGTATGGCCTCAGGTCACCCTGGTGACCCAGTGGGTTGAGTGCAGAGCTGTGAAGCTGTCTGCAGCCTCTGCAGCATGGGTTCGATTCCCTGCTGGCCAGGGAGATTCCCACATGGTGCAGCAGACCTCTCCTGTGGCACCCACTGCTCCCCTCAGCAGTGTTTTCGGTCTGTCTGCCTGTTCTGTTTCCCACTCTATCTCTGGTGAATCCTCTCACCCTCCCACACCTCTGGCCTGTACCCCCCAGCTATTGTATAAATTAAAAAATAAATCTTAAAAAAAAATAAAAGGCATGGCCTCAAAAAGTTTTTAAAAAATAAAATGGACAGGGCCTCCCTGGGGGTGCAAGGGGTTAATTTAAGCACAGCACTGTGAAGCTATCCACAGTGTCTACAGAATGAGTTCAATCCCCGGCCTCCAGGGAGCTACCCACATAGCATAGCAGACCTCTCCTGTCTCCCCGGCTGCTCCCCTGAGCAGTGTATTTCAGTCAGTCTGCCTGTTCTGCTCCCCACTCTGCCTCTGGTGAATCCTCTCACCGCCCACACCTCTGGCCTGTACCCCAGTTCTTGTACACATAAATAAATAAAGCTTAAAAATAAAATAAAATAGACATATCTCCTCTATCTCATTTAAAGGTAAGATGACAAAAATATTTTAGCAAGAATTTTTCACCTTTTTTCAGTAGATGTAGTTATTGGCTACAATTTTCATGCCTCCCTGTAAACCTCCCCCCCAATAAAACACTTTGCTATGTAAATTGGAGCCCCGACCACTAAAGGTAGGAGGTACTTTCCTACTACATAACTTTGTGTTTTAACTATGTGATATTCTGGCTGACAGAATCTTAGTTCAAGTGACACACGCAGCCTAGTGAGAGCTCCAAATGTGTTTGTCTAGGGAGTAGAGCTGCCTGGCCAGTCTCCAGATTTGCAACTTGAGGATAGATCAGTTGACTCTATGTTAAAGTGAAGTGTAATGAGCCTGCTTGCTCAGATCTTCTTCTGGGGGTAAAATAATTACCTGAGGAAACATTACTTCATGGAATTCACCTTTCTGTTTTTCCAGAAGCTCTCTCTCCCTTTGACTGTTTCCAACTAATCAATAAGCATCATGGGAATATTACTCATGCTTATTCTTCAGAGATAAAGGACTCATCCAATGTTCAATTTTGTCTTGATGACTCTTCATCGACCTGACTGAAACTTCATTGCACTGGACTGCAGTGTGTGAACATCACACCTCTTTCAGTCTCCCTTCATCTGCAGCAGGTCCAAACCTGAATAGCAATCTCAAGTTTCTCTCTCCTTTCCATTCTCCCCTCCCTTTATCCTACACAAGCATTTCACCAATAAATCTCTAACATGTTTAGATCTCTCTTGGAACCTGCTTTTGGGATACAGGAATGAATATTGGTACAAGAATGATATGTATTCAGGTTCTCCTATTAATACAAATTTCTTGAAAACACCATTTAGGTAGATTAAGAAGTGACTAATCTCCAATTTGTGACTTTAACTTCTGTTCTAGCAAACCATTTTCCAGGCTGTGCTGCATTAGCTTTCCATTTTCAGAAACAGAATTAAGGCCCTATATTTAACCAATTTGTGAACAATGAATGAAATCTTAGCCAATGAGCACTTAATTGACACAATAGTTTCATTTGCTTTTCCCATTTCCTCTGAAAAATGTTCCAGTCAGAGTTCACAGCAAGCTAGACTCTCAGTTCTGGTAGAATGACTCAGAATATGTTAGTACTTCAGCTTCCAAAGATGCATGTTTTAAAGGTGGTTTTTCTTATTTCCAACCTGTCATTTTTGTTTGCTTATCATAGAAAGACACTGAGCTTTAATTTGCAAGTGTCTTTTTTTCCCCCATATTTTATTTCATTGTATCTATTCATTTTTTAATTATTCCAACTTATCTTTATCTCTAATTAGTAACTCTTTATTACATGCAAATGGCCTAAACCTGCAATTGTATTTAATTTCATGGTTTGTTTCATGAAAAAACTAGAAATCCTTAATAACATAGTATTTTTTATGAAAGAAAAGTTGTATGGAACTTACATAGCTAGAATCCAAGAATTTATACTCTAAAAGTTTGGGTTTTAGTTTAAAACATAATTGATAAACTTGAATGCAATTTAGGTTTACATAAAAAATGTTGTGACTACATTATTTTTTCCTGATTTTCTTATTATTTTAAAATAAACATACTTTTAGAACTTGAAATGAAGACTTTTCATTCTTATCCATTCTCATGATACAAATTTCAGGTCATGTCCTCTATAAATATGAATAAGTACATTTATAAAATAGAGTTATGTTTTATCTTAAAATATAGAAAAGAAAAGGCATTTACTTGATATCCTTCAGCATTATGGTTTCTGGAAAATGGATAAAATGCCCCAAGTTGCATCCATCTCCTGCAAAGCTCTTCTGTGGTTTCAGCCACAAATCCACATATATCTGCTCCAACCTAAAAAAACAAATAGATACATAAATAGTTATATATGTTGCAAAGATTCTCAAAATTGCACAGAGGATCACATTTTATGTCTCATTTGATTAAGTCTGCATTTTTTTTTATTAAAGATTTATTTATTTATTTATTTATTTATTATTTATTTATTTATACAAGCACTGGATATAGTCAGAAGTGTGGGAGGGTGAGAGAATTCACCAGAGCTAGAGCAGGGAGCAGAACAGACAGACCGACAAAACACACTGCTGAGAGGAGCAGCCAGTGGTAGGAGAGGTCTGCGCCCCATGTGGGACCCTCACCCGAGGGCCGGGGATCCAATTGGCGCTGCAGAGGCTGTGGGCAGCTTCACAATTCAGTGCTCAACCACTGCGCCACCAGTGAGGCCCTAATTCTGCATTTTTAAATATCCTTTTAGTTGTTCAGCTTCATATATACATCCCTTAAATAGCTGCTTTATTTTTCATTTTTGCAACACACTTGCCTCTAATTACATTACTCTTTTCTTCATTGTCTCTTTTTACATTTTCTTAGCCTTATGCATAAAATTTTCTTTGATCTGATTATTATTAATTCCATGTATAAAAGTAATTTTTATTAGAACTGCATTAAAATATTTTATTAAAACTGTATTAAAGGTGATTTTTTTATTAAAACTATTGCTCCTGAATCCAAAACTCAACCCCCCTGATTTTTCCTGATTATACTGCTGTAAGAGTGATATAGTTAAAAAAAAAATTATCTTTCCCATTGAGTACCTATATAAACTTGCTACCCTCTTCCTTCAAAGACCTTCCAGAAAATGAAAATGATGATAATTAATCTAATATTTAACCTTACAAGTATTTAGTTTTCTGAATTGTATACATGTGTCTATAAGCAACACATGGAATTTCTTTACATACTTATTACTTTATATAAATAGAATGTTGTGTGAACTAAATTGTATTTTGTATTTTGTTTTTTTTTCTCAAAGTATTAATTTTGTGAGACTTAAATATGTCAATGTTGCTCGAGGTCTCTATTGTATGGGATCCCTTGAATATACAAAATTGGTATTTATTTATTGGTGAGTATGCAAAAATTATTTGATTATATGTGTAATGTATATAATTACTTTCTTCACTTCCTGTAAATGTATATTGTTTAATCAAAACTGGCTCTAACCCTTTCTAAGCACAGTTGCAGTACATGAAAGTTCCTATTGCTCAATTTTCTTGCCAACTGATAATCAGACTTTCATTTTTACTACCCATAAACATGTGCATAACATTTTATTTTAAATTAATTAATAATAAATTAGTCCCCTGATCTTACATTATAGGTTTTTAATCTATCTGAACTGACTTTTTATATATATGTGAGAAATAGAGCCATTTCATTTTATGAATGGATAATCAAATTTTCACATGATTAGTTGATACTTTGCTCACTGTCATACAGTGATGATACTATCATTTAATAAATTTCTATTTTTGAAAAGATTTATTTTTATTTATTTATGTATACACAAGCTGGGGTAGAGGCCAGAGGTGTGGGGGGAGATTGGGGGGCATGAGAGGATTCACCAGAGATAGAGTGGGGAGCAGAACAGGCAGATCGACTGAAATACACTGCTGAGGGTAACACCAAGCAAGACAGGAGAGGTCTGTTCCCCTGTTTAGTTATCTCCCTGGCCTGGGATTGAACTAGGCCACAATGGCTCACGATAACTTGACAGCACTGAGACTTTTTAACCCTGCTCTACCAGGGAGGCCCAATAAATCTCTATTAATAAATGTACTTGTATCTTTTTTGGTCACATTTTTGAAAGATTTATTTATTTATGCATACAAGAACGGGTACAAGCCAGGGGTCTGGGGGTATGTGTGAGAGGATTCACCAAAGACAGAGTGGGGAGCAGATCAGCAGATGTACTGAAATACACTGCTAAGGGGAGCAACAGGTGAGTCAGGAGAGATCTATTGCTCCATGTGGATAGCTCGCTGGCCAGGGATTGAACTCGTGCTGCAGTCGCTGCAGATAGCTTCATAGGTTGTGTCTTAACCCCTTGCGCATGTTTTGATTCTTGCTTTAAGGGACTCCATAAATTCATTTTTTTATATTCCACAAACAATTGCAACCCCCTTATTTTGACCCCAACCCTCCTTTCCCTGCCCCCCCTATAGTATGTCTCTGGTTAATAGTTGTTTGTTGATTTTTTCTTTCTTATAGTTATTCTTTTTTCCTGGTCACTTATTTAGGTTTTCTAGATTCCTGCTATGAGTAAGACCATCCAGTATTTTTCTTTTTCTTTCTGGCTTATTTCTCTGAGAATGATCCCTTCCAGCGCCATCCATGTTGCTGCAAATTGCATGTGTTTATCTTTTTTTGATTGCTGAGTAATATTCCATGGTGTATATGTACCCTATCTCCTTGATCCTGTCATCTATTTTTGGGTATTTGGGTTGTTTCCAAAGCTTAGCTATTGTAGATAGTGCTGCTATAAACATTGGGGTGCAGGTGCTCTTTGGAATTAATGTTTCTGTGTCCTTTAGGTAAATACCTAGGAGTGGAATGGATGGATCATATGGAAGTTCTGTCTTTAGTAGGTTGAAGAATCTCCACACAGCTTTTGTCATATTTGCCTATTTGAATCCCACAGTGAAATGTCATTGTATTATATCACTGCTTTAACTCAAAGGGCAAATTTTCATGCTTTATTGCATTTCTTGAAATTGTATTGTCTTCCACAGTAAGTTTAGAATAAGTTTTCATGTTTCCAAATGTCTTTTATAGGTTAAATTAGAATATCACTGAATTTGGATAATGGTATGGGAAGAATGCATATTTCAAATATATTGATTTTCTTATCCATAACCATGATATATATTTGTTTACCAAAAATATTCTCAAAAATATCCTGCATTTATTTTTTAGTATTTTCTGCTGATTATTGCTTATTTTTTTTAAGATTTATTTATTTATTTATACAAGAACTGGGGTGCAGGCCAGATGCACGGGACAGTGAGAGGATTCACCAGAGACAGAGCGGGGCACAGAACAGGCAGACTGATGAAATACACTGCTAAAGGGAGCAGCGGGCGAGACAGGAGAGGTCTGCCATGCCATGTGGGACCCTCGCTTGCTGGCCAGGATCAAATCTGCACTGCAGAGGCTGCGGATGGCTTCATAGCATGGCACGCAACTACCTGCACCACCAGGGGAGGCCCTGATTATTGTTTATTAATTGCTATAATAAATGTCACTATCTTAAAAACATTATGATATACTTATTGTTTTCTTTTACTTTGGAAGAATTGCTATAAATTGACCTTTTATTAAAATTTTCAGTCGCATTTGCATCTTGAGTTTTTTTAATTTTTTTTTATTTTACCTCTAGAGACTTTGATGTATTTGTATTAATATCTCTACTGTTCAGTACTGACATTTTCTTTTTTTTTTTTTAAGAGTCATGTATTTTCATTTATTTATTTATTTATTTGTTTGTTTATACATGCACTGGGCACAGTCAGAAGCACAGGAGGGTGAGAGAATTCACCAGAGCCAGAGCAGGGAGCAGAGCAGGCAGAAGGACCGAAGTACACTGCTGAGGGGAGTAGCGGGCGGCAAGAGAGGTCTGCGCGCCATGTGGGACCCTCCTCCTGTGGCCGGGGAGCACCAGGGGATCGAACAGGCGCTGCAGAGGCTGTGGGCAGCTTCTCAACCCAGCGCTCAACCACTGTTCCACCGGGGAGGCCCAGTACTGACATTTTCAACACTTCTGATTATTTTTTAATTCATGAATAACTTAATTATGTTTTTATTTATTACCAAATATTAGACTCTGTATGTGGGTTGCAACTTTTTACATTTGGTTGGTGTTCAGTTTTCATTTTATTCTATGAATTTAGTGCATATGAAAGAAGAAATTAATGAATTACTAATTATGGCTTCAATATATATATTTTTTAAAGAGTTATTTATTTACTTATTTATACAAGCACTGGGTAAAGTCAGAAGCGCAGAAGGGTGAGAGAATTCACCAGAGCCATAGTGGGGAACAGAACAAGCAGACTGACGGAAATACACTGCTGAGGGGAGCAGTGGGTGTGGCAGGAGAGGTCTGCTCACCATGTGGGACCCTAGCCCTGCGGCCTGGGATCTAACGGGGGCTGCAGAGGCTGCGGGCAGCTTCACAGCCCAGTGCTCAACTGCTGTGCCACCAGGGAAGGCCTGGCTTCAATATGTGTATGTGTATGTGTTAAATATAACATTGTATACTTCCTCATTGCATGATAAAAAGAAGCTTATTTTTTAATGGTTAGAATTTTCTGTTAGAAATTTCCTCTGCTTTTAAAAATTTGTAGGTTTTTGTGTCTTCTTTTATCTTATAGAAGAAACAGTTTCCTTTTCTTTTTAACCTCAATTGATAATACAGCATTTTAAACATATTTAGATTTTTGACTACTAATTTAAATATATTTAGATTTTTATTAATAATTTATTTGAACTTTTCTTTGCCAACATACTGGGTGGCTGGGTGGCTACTTATATTTCTATACTTAGATAATATTGATATTTCATGAATTATTTTGATTTGATTTGATTTATTCATTGTATTTCCCATCTCTAATGGTTTCAATGTTATGGATATCACTCAAGATATCCATACATGTCATGTATTTACTAAAATAGAGTTTGAAATTTTGTGTAGCATACCTTCAATCACTTTACTAAATGTAATTAAAATGGCAATGCTAGAAAATTAAACATTATTCACATATTTTATAAATAACAATGTATGAAACCGCTTACCAAAGGCATTCCAAATAAGCCAAACTCCAGCATTCCTGTGATAGACCATTCCATTTGCTCCCAAGAAGCAGTATTGTCTCCTAACCAATGTGCAGCATGTCTTCCAGTTCCAGCAAAAGTTGACCGGGTGAGGATAAAGCTTCTCTTATTAGGAAAAACTTTTTCCACAGCTCTTAAAATAAATTTGAATAACTAAATCAGACATATTTTAATAATACTAATATTTATAAATTTTAAATCTTACTTTCAAATTAATACATTAAAAGTATTAGAATAAACCCATAGTATTTACAACATGTGTCAATATTTTATGCCAATTTTGTACTTAGCTGCCAGGTTTTCTATTATATAAATAATTTCTGGGGCCTCCCTGGTGGCACAAGGTGTTAAGCACAGTGCTATGAAGCAATCTGAAGCCTCTGTAGCACGAGTTCCATCATGGCCTGCCAGGGAGCAACTCACATGGCGAAGCAGACCTCTACTGTCTCGCCCGCTGCTTCACTCATCAGTGTATTTCAGTTAGTCTGCCTGTTCTTTTCCCCACTCTGTCTCCGGTGTATCCTCTCACCACTATCCCCCCAACATCTCTGGCCTGTATCCCAGCTCTTATATGCATAAATATATAAATTTTAAAAAAATAATAATTTTTGGACTGCTGGGGCAGACCACGCACTGGGGAGCATCCCCCAAATGCACCATCTTGAGACAGGGAGGGTCCCATCCAGACCTCAGCAAAACTGTGTGGAACTGAAAAAGGGCTGTCCTTGCAGTCAGAGGTGAGCTGAAACCCGGCAAGTGGCAGGCCCCACAACTGCTGCTAGAGGGAGCTCCGAAGGGGATCCAGCCACATCCTGGGCAGACCCTGGCACAGGGGATGTGCCATCTTTTAGACAGGGAAGTTCGCATCTGGACCTCAGCAAAACTGTCAGAGCTTCCAAAATCCCAGAAGTTGCTCACCAATACCACTGACACAGTGTCCCAACACATAGGACAAATCAGAAAACAAGCACCAGGGAGAAGAAAAACAAGTAACCAAGAAAGCCCTCAGGGAAAGGACATACCACAAAAAAGAAAATCAACAACAAATTGCAACAACAGTGACTTGGAAAAACTTCTGAGGCTTCCCAATAGAGAATTTAAAAGCGCCATGATTAAAAAAACTGAAAGAAGTTGAAAATGATATGGGAAAAATAATCATTGATCTGAAGAATGAAATTGAGTCATTAAAAAGGGAAGTGAAATAAATGCAGGAGATGAAAGAATTAATGGAGGAACTAAAGAATTCTGGGAAAAGCAATGAAAGCAGAATAGATGAATTGAAAGAACAAATAAGTACTCTCAAAGACACTGGAATAAAAAGAACCAAAACAGAAAAGGAAAGAGAAGTATGACAGAAAAAGAATGAAGGAAGACTTTGGGAACTATCTGACTCCATGAGGAAAGGGAATATAAGAGTTATAGGAATCCCAGAAGGAGAGGAGAGAGATATAGGAATAGAGAAAATATTCAAGATAATAATAAGAGAACTTCCCAAACATGAAGGAGGAGCTGAAAATAGACATACAAGAAGCAAGAACACCAAACTAACATGATGAAAGGAAAAATACCATATAATAGTAAAGCTCCCACAAATCCAAGACAAGAAAATATAATTAAGCTGACAAGAGGGAAGAAACAGATAACATACAAAGGAAAATCAATGAGGCTGACATCAGAGGACGGACATAGTCAACAAACTCAAAGACGGCAAATGCCAACTAAGAATATTTTATCCTATAAAGCTTCCCTTCCTCTATGAAGAAAGAATAAGGACCTTCCCAGACAAACAGAAACTCCAGAATTTCATCATGACTAAACCCCTCTCCAAAAAATACTACAAGAAATTCGAAAACTGGATCCAACAGAGGAATGAATAAGAATGAAACAAGACAAGAAGTAAAACCACAGAAAAGACAAAATGGCAAATACAGACGCAAACATCAATATCAACTATAAATGTAAATGGATTAAAATCTTCAAAAAAAAACCCCACAGAGTCTCCGGCTGGATTAAGAATCAAAACCCAACCTTTTGTTGTCTCCAGGAAACATATCTAACTATAAAAGATAAAAATAGACTGAAAGTAAAAGGATGGAAAAAAATCCTACAAGTAAATGGACCAAAAAAGAAAGCAGGAACAGGTATACTTATGTCAGATAAAACAGATTTCAAACTTAAAAAGGTAAAAAGAGACCCAGATGGTCACTGCATTATGATCAAGGGGATAATACATCAAGAAGACATAACACTCATTAACATATACTCACCAAATGAAGGTGCACCAAAATACATTAGACAACTACTATAATCTCTGAAAACAGACATCAGAGAAAATGTGTACGTAGTTAGAAACTTCAACACACCACTATCAACAATGGATAGATCAAAAAGACAAAAAAAATAGTAAGGAAGTAAGGACACTAAAGCTGTAAACAAGGATCTAGACATCTTGGGCTTAACAGACGTCTATTGGACACTACACCCAAAGAAATCTGAGTACACATTGTTTTCTCAAGCACACAAGGATCATTCTCCAGGATCATTTATAGACTGGGACACAGGAAATACATCAACAGATACACCAAGATTGAAATCATACCAACCATCTTCTCTGACCATGAAGGCATCAAACTAGAAATAAACCATAAAAAGAAGGCAAGGAACCCTCTACCTCCTAGAGATTGAAACCCACACTATCGGAAGATGACTGGACTAACAAGGAGATCAAAGAAGAAATTAAAAAATACTTTGTGTTGAAGGACAAGGACACCAATTTCCTAAATGTATGGGATGCAGCAAAAGCAGTGATAAGAGGAAAATATATAGCAATAGAGGCTCACATCAAAACAAGAAAGAACGCAAAGAAATGATATAATCTCACAGCTCAAAAAATTAGAAAAAGAACAAAAAACCCTAAAACCAGTAGAAGAAAGGAAATGATAAATATCAAGGCAGAAATAAATGAAATAGAAACTAAAAAAGAAATCCAAAAGATCAATGAATTCCATTCATTTCCATCCATGTTATGCAAATGGCATGAGTTTATCTTTTTGATTGCTGATTAATATTCCATTGTGTATATATGCCACATTTTCTTATGCTCAGTGAAATAAGCCAGAAGGAAAAAGAAAAATTTTGGATGGTTTCACATATAGCAGGAATACAGGGGAACCAAATAAGACATCAATGTAAAAAATAATAACAGTACAAAACACAACAAAGCAAAAATAGACAATTATAAATCAGAGACATACTGCAGGGGAGGAAGAGGGAGAGGGATCAGAGGAAGGAAGGAGCACAGGGGACTGAGGTGATAGAGCACAGATGCATTGGTAAAGGGAACTCTATGGGTACTACAACTGAGGGGGTGCAGGGGAAGCAAATATTATTTTAAAATAAAAAATGATTAAAAATACAAAAACTAAAAATTAAAAATAAATAAATAAATAAAATTATTAAAAAAAAAAAGATCAATGAAACCAAAAGTTGGTTCTTCAAAAAAATAAATAAAACAGACAAACCCCTAGCCAGACTTACTAAGGAAAAATGGGAGAAAGCACAAGTTAATAGGATCACAAATGAAAGAGGAGAAATCACAACAGACACAGCAGAAATCAAAAGAATAGGGCCTCCCCGGTGGCGCAGCGGTTGAGCGCTGGGTTGCGAAGCTGCGCGCGGCCTCTGAGGCGCCGGTTCGATCCCCGGCTGCTCCCCGGCCACCAGAGGAGGGTCCCACATGGCGCGCAGACCTCTCCTGCCGCCCGCTGCTCCCCTCAGCAGTGTACTTCGGTCCTTCTGCCTGCTCTGCTCCCCGCTCTGGCTCTGGTGAATTCTCTCGCCCTCCCGCGCTTCTGACTGTACCCAGTGCATGTATAAACAAAACAAACAAACAAACCAGCAAACAAATAAATAAAGCATGCCTCTATAAAAAAAAAAAAAAAAGAAATCAAAAGAATAATCAGAAACTACTATGAAATTATATGCAAACAAGTTCAACAATCTAGAAGAGATGGACAAATTCCGACAACTTTACAATCACCCAAAGCTAGATAAAGAAGAAACAGAACACATAAACAGACCAATTACAAGCAGTGAAATTGAAATGGTAATCAAAACCCTCCCAAAAACAAAACCCCAGGACCAGATGGATTTACAAATTAATTCTACCTAACATTCAGAAATGAACAAGTGCCTATACTTCATAAACTCTTTTAAAAAAATGAGACCAAAGGGATACCAAAGCCAATATTACACTAATACCAAAACCAAACAAGGACAACAACAAAAAAAGAAAATTACAGGACAATCTCTCTAATGAATACTGATGCAAAAATCCTCAATAAAATTTTAGCTATCAGAATCCAACAATGTATCCACAAGATTATTCACCACAACCAAGTAGGATTTATTCCAGGCACACAAGGATGGTTCAACATCTGAAAATCAATCAATGTAATCCAACACATCAACAAAAAGGAATATAAAAACCATATGATAATACCAATAGATGCTGAGAAAGCTTTTGACAAAGAACAACACCCATTTTTGATAAAGGCTCTTGAAATTCTCGGGATACAATGAACGTACCTCAACATCATAGAGGCCATATAAGACAAGCCCATAGCCAATATCATTCTCAATGGTGAAAACTTAAAAAGCATATCCATTAAGATCTGGAACAAGACAAGGATGTCCACTCTCACAAATGTTTTTCAATATAATACTGGAAGTCCTAGCCACAGCAATAAGACAAGAGAAAGACATACAAGGAATCCAAATAGGAAAGAAAGAAATCAAACTATTACTATTTGCAGATGATATGATAATATACATAGAGAACCCAAAAAACTACACAGAAAACTAATCAACCTAATCATCAGTTTAGTCAAGTAGCAGGGTACAAAATCAACACACAAAAATCAGTAGCCTTCTGATACACAAACAACAAATTTGAAGAAGAAATCAAGAAAACTAAGTCTTTTATTATTGAAACAAAAAAAAACTCAAATACTTGGGAATAAACCTAACAAAAGAGTTAGAGGATCTATACAAAGAAAACTATAAAACACTGTTAAAAGAAATAGAAGAAGATGCAAAGAAATGGAAAGACATCCCCTGCTCATAGATTGGAAGAATTAACATTATCAAAATGGTCATCCTACCAAAAGCAATTTACAGATCCAATGCTATTCCAATAAAAATTTCAGTGACATTCTTCAAATAAATAGAACAAATATTGATAAAATTCATATGGAGCCACTAAAACCCTGAATAGGCAAAGCTATCCTGAAAAAAAAAAAATAACAGAAGGGAATAGAGGTGTCACACTCCAGACTTCAAACTATACTATACAATCAAAGCTTCACAGTATTGGACAAAGAACAGACACATGCACCAATGGAACCAAATAGAAAATCCAGAAATAAATCCACAGATATACAGTCAACTAATCTTTGACAAAGGAGCAAGGAATATGCAATGGAGCAATGAAAGTTTGTTCTATAAATGGTGCTGGGAAAACTAGGTGAAAAGCTTGACTACTACCTCACACCATACACAAAAAACAACTCAAAATGGATTAAAGAACTACGCATAAGACCTGAAACCTGGCCTCTCCTGGTGGCGCAGGTGGTTGAGCACAGCACTGTGAAGCTCTAAGCAGCCTCTGTAGTGCTGGTTTTATCCCAGCCAGCATGCAAGGGACCCACATGGTGCAGCAGATCTATCCTGTCTCGCCTGCTTCTCCCCTCAGCAGTGTATTTCTTCAGTCTGCCTGTTCTGTTCCCTGCTCTGTCTCTGGCGAATCCTCTCACCCTCCCAGCATCTGGCCGGTTCCTGGGTTCTTGTATAAATAAATAAATCTTAAAAAAATACCTGAAACCATAAAATATATAGAAGAAAATATAGGCTAAACACTACATGACATACACCTCAGTAACATCTTTAAAAACACATCACCCAAAGCAGTGATCGTGAAGGCAAAGATAAACAGCTGGGACTACATCAAATTAAAGAGCTTCTGTACAGCAAAAGAGACAGTAACCAAAAGAAAGAGACATCCCACCGATTGGGAGAAAATTTTTGCACACAACACCAATGATAAAGGACTGATCACAAAAATCTACAAAGAGCTAAAGAGTCTCAACAACAACAAAAAAAAGTAAATAATCCATTGAAAAAATGGACAGAAGAGCTAAAAAGAAACTTCTCCAAAGAGGAAGTGCAAATAGCCAAGAGACATATGAAAAAATTTGCAACATCACTTGTAATCAGGGAAATGCAAATCAAAACTACAATGAGATACCACCTTACACCAGTGAGATGTATTTATAAATCCTAGGCATTTATCCAAAGGACACAGATACATTAATTCAAAAGGGCACCTGCACCCCTATGTTTATAGCAGTACTATTTACAATAGGTAAATTATGAAATAACCCAAATGCCCAAAAATAAATGACTGGATCAAGAAGATGTGGTACATATACACAATGGAATATTACTCAGTAATCAAAAATGATAAACTCATTCAATTTGCAGCAACATGGATGGAGATGGAAGGGTTATGCTTAGCAAAATAAGCCAGAAAGAAAAAGAAAAATACTGGATGGTCTTACTCATAGCAGGAATTTAGAAACCTAAATAGGGGACCAGGATAAAGACAAATTATAATGAAGTAAAATCAAAATCAACAAGCAACTATAAATCAGAGACACACTACAGGGGTGAGGGGGCGGCTGGGAGAAGGCAGTAGGATCAAAACAAGGGGGGGGTGGGAATTGTATGGTAACTAGAACCAAGATGAAAATGCACACAACTATTTTTTTATGTTACTTCTTTTAATATCTGAATATTATTGACAATTTTCTCCATAAATGAGAAATAATAAAATACAAAAGTTTAATTAAGTAGTTCTGTGTATATAATTATCTAGATTACCTTAGTAAATATTTAATGCTATTCTAATTTTTTTCTACATTACCTTTAAAATAATAAATTACAGTGTCCGTTTCCTTTCAAGATTTTATTTACTTAATGAAATACATAATGCTCTGCTGATTTTAAAAAGTGTAGCAAAAGTGCGCTAGGAAAACATTACAAAAGATATGATATTGTGGTATGATTTGGGTTTGGATTAAAACTTATAATAGTTGTTTTTTGTGAGAAAGTAAAAAAAAATACATTGAGAGCAGAATCTGGGGTTTAATGATTATAGATAACATTTATTATAGGTCATTATGCTAATGCTTTGAAAATACTTAGCAATCAAAATAAAATTTCCCCCTACTTTATTTTACATCATAATCATTTTTTACATGCAAGTCACAAAAGTTGCATTAGAAAATCACTTTGGGAGATACTACATAGATACCCACATTTGTTTTCTGTTTTTTGAACTGATGTTTAAAAATAATTTATTCTTCTAATTGGCAACTTTTTATTTTTAAACTTTCAGTTCAGTTTTGGAAAACAGTTAAAGATTTTTCTAGACACATCATTCTCCCAGAACAGTTTTGAAGTTCATGCTTAGAATACAGTTCTATTCAAACAAAACCAAATTTTTGAACAATAATTTAAAAATACAATTTCAAATAAAATATCCAGTTAAATACATGCACCACATTGTTCTTAATAACTAAGTTGCAAGCTGGTGAACATTACCTTAGAAATGTTCCTTCCTATGAATTATTCTGATATGAAGAAGCCATTTTCTTTCTTTGCTTTCTTGATCTTTCTATTTCCAGCTATATTAATAAATTCTCAAATATATTTAGGCAATAAAAATGAAATAAGTTGATGAACTAAACTGCACATACCTTTCTGTGGCAATAGCCATACTGTATCCATAGAGGCTGTGAACATCATATTGTTTTCCCCAGTACTGCACAGAATCCATACAAATTGTTTTGGAATACATGAGTTTGTCAAGAATATCTTAAAGAAAAAATATAAGAAACATTTTGCCATCTTAACACTTTTAATTCTTAAATCATGTGCTATATAATACCATACTTAAAAATAAATGATATATGCCATTTTTTAAAGATTTATTCATTTATGTATACAAACACTGGGCACAGTCAGAAGCGTGGGAGGGTGAGAGAATTCACCAGAGCAGAGCGGGGAACAGAACAGGCAGACTGACGAAATACACTGCCGAGGGGAGCAGCTGGTGTGGCAGGAGAGGTCTGTGGCATCATGTGGGAACCTCGCTGGAGGCCAGGGTTCAGACTGGTGCTACAGAGGCTGTGGGCAGCTTTGCAGCTTTGCAGCCCAGCACTCAACCACTGTGCGAATTTTAAACCAAGTACCAATTGTATTTCAACTCTCCACTCCTGTTGATTATTGATTTGATTTACACTTACACTAATAGCTGCTAAACTTCAAAAATCAATTAAGTCATTCTAGAAAAATGGTATTTCATGTATTTATATAAATATACACATCTACAATGTAATTCACATACATCTAGACCCATTTTGAAGCTAAAGGTGGATTACTTTGGTAAATATAGTCTAATTGTATACATGCATATTTGTTAAACATTTATAAACCATTAGAATATCTGATAATCTGTATTTTTATGTTGCTTTAAATTGTGGGATTATGTGTTACAATCATGTCATGTTTATTAGAGATGGCTATATAAAGATATTATCCTTTGGTGATTTTTTTAAAGATTTATTTATTTATTTATTTATTTATACAAGCACTGGGTTCAGTCAGAAGGGCGGGAGGGTGAGAGAATTCACCAGAGCCAGAATAGGCAGACTGACAAAGTACACTGCTGAGGGGAGCAGCGGGCGGCAGGCAGGAGAGGTCTGCTTGCCATGTGGGATCCTCGCCAGTGGCCAAGGATCAAACCAGCGCTGCAGAGGCTGCAGGCAGCCTCTAACACAGCGCTCAACCACTGTGCCACCGGGGAGGCCCACCTTCGATAATTTTTTAACCCATTTTTAATGGTGCAAATGATTTTTTAAAGAATATGTGCTATATAATTATATGTATTAGAATAATTCCAATAACTGCACAAACATAATGTGTTTATGGAAGAAACGTGATGGCTCAAATTATGATTTCAAACAAATTTTCTTTTTATTACTATATTATTATTTATTTATTATTTTCTAATTTTTTTCTTACATCATCATTAATTTTTGGACTTTATTTGATTTCTCCTTTCAATTGTAGACACCATAGCCCTCCCAGTACCATAAAATCCATGATCTAGCTTCCCTCCCCTGATTGGATGCCTCCCTCCACCCTCCCCTGAGAGATTTCTCAGCTCTCATGGTCAGCATTCAAGTTTTGTCTTTTAACTGACCCTGTTTGGTTTATGTATATTCCACATAAGGAGACCATGTGAGATACACACACACACACACACACACACACACACACACACGTATTTCCTTCTATCTTATTTTGCTTAGAATAATCACAACTCCATCCATGTTGGCACAAAAGTCATAAGCTTATAATTTTTTGATCATTGAGTAGTATTCTGTTGTGTATGCCCAACATCCAGAATATATTCTTTTTTTAAAGATTTGTTTATTCATGCATACAAGAAGTGGGGTAGAGGCCAGATGTGCAGAAGGGTGAGAGGATTCACCAGAGACCGAGTAGAGAGCAGAACAGGATGACTGACTAAAATACACTGCTGAGGGGAGCAGCAGGTGAGACAGAAGAGGACTGCCTCGCCGTGTAGATGTTTTGCCTGTCGGCTGGGATCAAACCCACACTGCAGACAGCTTCACTGCTTCACAGCACTACACTCAACCACCTGTGCCCACCAGGGGAGGCCCACCAGCACATATTCTTGATTCATTGATCTAGTTGGGACATTTAGTTTGTTTCCATCTATTGACTATTGAAAATAGTGCTGCAATAAACAAGAGTGCTGGTTTCCTTTCAAATTACTGTTTTTGTTTTCTTTGGATAGATGTGAGGGGTGGAATTGCTGGGTCCTATGGTGAGTCCTGGTATTTTGAGAAACTCCACACAGATTTCCATAGTGGCTGTGCCTGTTTACATTCCGAAAGCAGTCTTTTTAACACATCCTCCCCAGCACTTGCTGTTTATGTATTTTTTTTTGTTTTGTTTTGTGTTAATATGAGCTATTCTCACAGGTGTGAGGAGGTATGTCATTGTGGTTTTGATTTGTATTTCCATGATAATAAGTGATGTTGCTCATTCTTTCATATGCCTGTTGGCTATTTACATTTCTTGCCTAGAGAGTTGTCTTTTTAGCTCATCATTTGTGATTGGGTTGTTTTTTCTATTTCTGTTGAGTTACATAAGCTCATTATAGATCTTTGGAGATATGAGTCCCTTATTTTTCCCTCACATAGAAAGGAGAAATGTGCAGAATAAAGTGTTCTTAACTGACATATTTTGTCTGGGAGGTTTTTGAATGTCTTTCTATTTTCTTATTGCCCATAATGTTTCTTCAGAGAAGTCCAATATTAACCTGAATGATGTTCCTTTTTATGTTGTCTTTCTTCTTCCTCATCAACTTTATTATATTTTCTTTGTCTTGGACTCTGGAAACTTTACTACTCTATGCATTTCCATAGACTTTCTTTCATTAAGATAGTTTGTGTCTATTTTCATATCCTTCTTCAAGCTTGGGAAATGTTCTTACATTATTTCCTTCAATAGTTTTTTCAGCTCTTTTCTCTTTCTTTTCTTTCTAGGATAGCTCTGGCTCATTTTCTTTGCTTATTAGGTCAGATAATTTTTGAAGTGCTTCTTCATTCCTTTAGCTTGCGATATATATATATATATATATATATATATATATATATATATATATATATATATATATATATATCTTTTGCTCTCTTGGTTATTGTCATATCTGTATCTTCCAGATTACTGATTCATTCTTCCATATTATCTAATCTTCTTCCATGGATCTTTCCAGAAGATATTTTTTATATTCTTTTTATATTCTACTTTGCCTTTCTACATCCTACACTTCCTTTATTTTATTATTATTTTTTTAAGATTTATTTACATTTATACAAAAGCCGGGATACAGGCCAGAGTCGCGGGAGGGTGAGAGGATTCACCAGAGAAGGAACAGGGAGCAGAACAGGCAGACAGACCAAAGGTACTGCTGAGGGAAACAGCGGGCAAGACAGGAGAGGTCTGCCTCGACATGTGGGATTCTGCCTGGCATGCCGGGAATCAAACTGGCGCTGGGGAGACAGCTGTAGACAGCTTCACAGTGTGGCACTCAACCTGCTGCACCACCGGGGAGGCCCTTATTATTTTAATTTTTAAAATCCATCTTTTGTTTGTTGATTATGTTTCTCAAGGCATTCTTTTCCCTTTCTGCATCTTCTCATATATATCTGATGCCTTTTTCTGATTTTGTTTGTGTTGTTCTAATTCTCTGACTTTTGTAGTTATGGCAATTTTAAATTCTTCATCTGACAAGAAGAAGAATTCTTCCTTGTGAATGTGTGAGATTCTGGAAATTGAAATTTTTCTGTGGTATATTTTAATTAATTAAATAATCATGGGAAAATATCAGTAGTGCAAGTAAATAATATGCTATACCAAAATTTAAAATCATCCATCTTAGGCTTTTTTTTTTTGCTAAAGTTAAAAATATAATTAAAATACATTGATTTAACTGTCTCAAAACTACAACAAAGTCAGTGATTTAGAAATATATGATGGCATTTTCCAGTCATCATATAAAATTTACTCAGTTCATTTTATGTAGATAACCAAATGAAATTTACCTGGAGTAAAAGGTGGATAATTCAGTAGGTTGTCATTACATCCTTTTGTTGAACCTTGAACAAAGCTAGACACTTCATTCATGTCCTAAATCAACATAAAATGAAAAACAGCAAATTTTAAGTAAAAATGATGTTACATAAGTATAAAATATCCAGTTGATACATTGACTGTAAAATATAAACACTAGTTAACTAAACAAATCAATGAAAAATTAACTTAATATTGAACATAAAATAATGACAGTGAATAATGAGCACTTTCAGAAAGATTTTTTTTAGATCTAAATGATCAAAGAAAAGGTAGTTATTCCAATGATATCATTACCTCTTCTTATAAAATTACATATAATGTTAATACCATTGAAAAAAATCCCCATTTTGTTCTGTGTGTTCAGATTTGTTAAGCTTTTATTTTTTTTCTGAAGTAGTATAGAATTTTGGGATTACCAGGTAGTTTCATTTTTCTGATGTATTTATAGATTCAGTAACAAGACACTGAATTGTTTACTATCATCCAGTATTATTTTATATATAAGTCTAACTGCACATGATCAATAATAATAGATATAAATTTTCATCCAAAAAACTTTTAAATATTAGTGATTCCCTTTACTATCTTAACCAATAACCAAATATTTGACTTTTGCTGTTGCTTATCCTAAATAAAATATCATATTACTAATTCTGATTTGTTCTAATCTATAATTTACTACAAATATCTCTAAAGTGTGAGATTTAAGCATGATTTTCTTACAACTGCTATACTACAGCAGACTTTAGCACATCATTTGAATGTTATTACCATATGTTTATCATTTGCAAAATACAGCACTATAAATAAAAAGGAAATTTAATGTATAAAATTTAATGCATTACTAGAAAATTGTCTGTCTGTTTCTGTTTTGTTGTATTTTGTACTGTTATTTTTTCCCCTGATGTCTTTATTTGGTTCCCCTATATTCCTCCTATAGGTGATACCATCTGGTATTTTTCTATTTCCTTCTGACTTTTCCTTTTGACTTCACTGAGCATAATTCCTTCTAGCTCCATCCATGATTCTGCAGGGGAGGAGGAGGGAGAGGGATCAGAGGGAGGGAGGGAGGACTATGGTGATGGCACATGGGTGTATTGGTGAAGGAATTCCTGTGGGGTCAACACCTGAGGGGGGGGTGTAGAAGCAAACATTGTTTAAAAATGAACACTGATTAAAACAATATAGATAGATAGATAGATAGATAGATAGATAGATAGATAGATAGATAGATAGAAAGATAGAGAGTTAGATAGATAGATATAACTAGAAAAGATGAATTTCAATTTACAGGTTTTAATTTTTATTATTTTCTAAACCATGTGTATGACTGATATTCATTCCTTCTAAATATATTATAAGAAACTTTGATTTTATATTTAATGCAATGCTAAATATATCTTGCCAACAGTTATTTTTGGAAAAATAATTCTATATGCACTGTCTAATATCACTGTTTAAAAATCATTACTTACGATCCAAAGTCCATCATATTTCACTGTATCATGGAAAAGTTTGCATTCATTTGCCCACCACTCTACGCAGCTTGGATTAGTAAAATCAGGGTATACTGTTAACCCTGGCCAAACCTGGAAGAATAGTTCATAAATATATACTCACAAATAAAAGAAAAAAAGACTAAATAAAACATGAGAATTCAAATTAACTGAGTAAACAGTTAACTGAGTAAACAGTAAACAGTAAACTGAATGACAGTACAATTTTATTGAAGTTTTGAAATTGTTCTTTTATAAATATATGTGATCATGACTATTCTATATTAATAATAAGCTCAGTTCTACTTTAAAATGAATTTAAGTGAGAGTAGTTAAGTAAAGAAAGAGATGAAAATATGAAGCATTTAGAAAGGGAAAATATGAGAACATGGGATGAAGCTGTTATCTTAGTTGCAACTAAATTACTTCTTAGCACCCTAACATGTTAAGTAAAATAAATCTAAAAGTGTATGATTCATACATACATATGTTGCTTGATAAAATAAAATATATTAGTTCATTTCCAAAAGCATTTATTCCAAATAAATTCAAGCAAAAATACTCCTAATATATTTATTTTTCTTTAACATATGCAAATATGACACATTGTTTACTGGGTAATATGTTAAGCAATTTTATAATCACTAACTCATTTAACATTCACTATAAGTTTAAGAATAGATACTACTGTTTATCACCACTTTAGAGACAAAGTATCAATAAATGCCATAATTATACTATTTTGCAGATGACAGATTGGATGAACAAAGACGGTATTAGCTATTCAAGGTCAAACACTAATTAGTTGCATAGAAAATTCAAATCTAGACACTCATATCTGAGTCCATGATATTAAATACTACATACACTGTGCTTCCTCTTTATGATTTATGGTTTTACAAATTATTTTACTTTTTGCTTAAATTACTTACATTAGTCAAAAAATAATTTCAAATAATTTTGGGTAAATAATATTGTTTCATGTCCAAATTAATACATATTGACTATCTGATTTGTCTATATACAAAATAGCAGGCCTCAAAAAAATTGTGTTCCATGAGATACTAATGGATTTCATTGAAGGGGGAAGGAAATACTGGGTTATATTTCCCGATAGATCTCATAACTATTTGAAGCAAAATTTTACCAGAAATGTTAACTTTTATGAATGCTATTAAAAGTAATGCTTGTGATGCTCATCATTATTACAAATAATGTTATAAAAAGTTTTTCATAAATGGTATTTCCTTCTTATTCTTTACTTGACTAAGCACAAAAGTGGAATCATCAAGGCAATGGTTTTGATGTCTTACAAAGATGTCTCCAAAAGAATAGATATTCTGATTAAGAATTAGGAGTTAGGGGAGCCTCCCTGGTAGCAAAGGGGTTAAAGACAGCAATATCAAGGTATTGGCAGCCACTGCAGCATGAGTTCAATCCCGGGCCAGGGAGATATCCACACGGTACAGCAGACCTCTCCTACATTGCCCGCTGCTCCCCTCAGCAGTGTATTTCACTAGATTTGCTTGTTCTGTTCTGGTGAATCCTCTCACCCCCACACATCTGGCCTGTACCCCAGTTTTTGTTTGCATAAATAAAATAAATCTTTAAAAATATGTTTATCCCAAAAAACAGAATTAGGAGCTAGGGAGTTTCCTTATTCTTGTCTTTATTAGCTTTGTGGTATTAGGAAAACTAACTCATCTCTCTCATATCTATATTTTTTCACCTGTAAAGTAGTATTTTTAATCATAGTTATAGCATGGTTTCATTGTGAAGATGAAATATAAAATATAGAATTTAATGTCCAAGATTTAAGTACTCAATACATGTATAAAATAACTTTACATCAAATATTAGATTTTACACCAATTTATTTATCATAGTTTGTTAACTTTAGTTGTAGTTAGATGTTACATTGAAAATTATATACCTTCTTACAAGAACTGATTTGGAGATAATTGTCTAAAATATCTCTGCACAATTAAAATATAAAATGCAGATTTTAAAGCAAACACACACAAACATATACACGTGCATCTTACAATTTTTATTGTTAAAATAAATAATATGAGAAAAACAGTGCAACTTTAGAAAATAGAAAATATCATAATTTACCTCTCCAATTAGTGGTGTAATTCCATCTGACTCATTTATCCACACCTGTTGTGCATTTCCCCTTACAAGGCTTTCGTATGGTGATCCATTTTCAAGATTACTTGTGGCAATTCCAGGGTCCTAAAAATTGGGGAAAAAAAAAAAAAGACCTGTTAACTCACAAATGTGTAAATACAAAAAAAAATTAATATATAATCAGTCATTACCAAGATGATAACATATTTCTGTCCATATGCATGCAAATCTTCAGCAAATTCAGGGAGTCCTTTAAATGCAACTTTATCATAAGTAAAGGCTTTCTTGTTCTCCATATAGTCAATGTCAGTGACCTGTGTATCCTGTAATTTAGCAGAGTATATTTTCTTAAATAGTACTGAAAGAATTTTCTAATCACTTCATTCATTAAGCACTATGAATTTTTAATATTAATAATTAAAAAGTAAATGAAATTTGATCCCTTTTATTTCACTAAAGACTCAATATTTATAAAACAAGTTTTTTTCTAATTCTAAAGCTAATAACAATAAATGATTATTCACATAGCTCAAAGATGACCAAAAATATGTATAATGACATATACTGATACCATATATAATTTATTATGAAAATAAAATCTTAGGCATTACAAAAACACATTAATCTTTTGTACATATATATTTTTTTTTAATTGAGGTAACACTGGTTTTCATTACTGTGTGGGATCATACCCTTTAAGATGTTCATTACCATTACACCAAAAATCTACAGAAACTAGGCCTCCCTGGTGGCACAAGTGGTTAAGTCTCAGCACTATGAAGTTATCGACAGCCATTGCAACACAAGTTTGATCCCCAGCCAGGGAGCTGACCCACACAGAACAGCAGACCCCGCCTGTCTCACCTGCTGCTCCTGTCAGCAGTGTATTTCAGTATATCTGCTTGTTCTGTTCCCCACTCTGACTCTAGTGAATCCTCTTACCTCCCGCACCTCTGGCTTATACCCCAGCTCTTGTATGCATACATAAATAAAATAAATATTGAAAAAATACAGATACTATAAAGCCCACATAAAAAGTTGAATATGATTTTATTCCCATTTAATCATGTGTTATCCTGTTCTAGTATAACTCCTAATCAATAACAAAACTTCAAGTCTGGAATTGCATATAAACATAAATATACATTATTGATAAAAGTAACAATAATACAGTATGATCGGACTATTAAAAGCAGCTTATAAATAATACATATGATAAATACATATGCAATATAAATAAAATAGGATATTTATGACAGTTTCCTACATTATTATGTAACAATATTTAACTTGGGGCCTCCTTGGTGGCTTAAGGGGTTAAGGCGCAGCCTATGGAGTGTGCACAGCCACTGCAGCATGAATTCGATTCCCCTGCCGGCCAGGTAGGAGACCCACATGGCACAGCAGACCTCTCTTGACTCTCCTGCTGCTCCTCTCAGCAGTATATTTCAATGATTCTGCTTGTTCTGTTCCCCACTCTGTCTCTGGTAAATCCTCTCACCCCCCCCCACATGTCTGGCCTGTACCCCAGTTCTTGTATGCATAAATAAATAAATCTTAAAAAACAATATTTAACTTGATATATATCCCCACAAACACTTCATTCTACTTACAAATGGTATGCGAGCTTCCCGATTTCTCTTTACCACTTCCTTCACTTCATCAAGCGACTTATAACTCCAGCGACTTAGTTGGAATCCAAGACTCCAATATGCTGGCATTGCTGGTAGTCCAGTGAGCTTAAAGAAAATTGACATTTAATTAGTTTTAATAAATAACATTAGAAATATAATGTTTCTTAATTTATCTCCAGTATACAAATAAGCTTAACAACATATTTTAAAGAGAAATAGTTTTGCCTGCATTCCAAAATGTATCTCAGATATTCCACTAGTATTTTGTTATGAAAAGGTCAGCAACTTTTGCCACTCATCTTTTGCTTATTTTATGTTACAAAATTAAAAAGTTATTATATCAGAATTTAGTATTAGCCAAGGCATATTTTCAGAACAATTAAAGTTAAGGAAAATAAGAAGAATCAAAGAGATAAAGACAAAAAAGAAAATCGTGCACTGTAGTCCCACTTCCTGTAGCAACAAGATAACTGAATGAATGAAAGGTCATGAGTAAGAAAATACTGTTTAAAAGCATATGTGGGGGTCTTTCTGGTGGTGCAGGGGGTTAAGTCTCAGCACTATGAAGCTACGGACAGCCACTGCAGCACAAGTTTAATCCCCAGCCAGAGAGCCAATCCACACATCAGATTGGCACAGCAAACCTCTCCTGTCTCGAATGCTGCTCCCCTCAGCAGTGTATTTCAGTCAGTCCAACTGTTCTGCTCCCCACTCTGTCTCTGGTGAATTCTTTCACCCCCTGCACCTCTGGCCTGTATCCCAGTTTGTCTACATAAAAATAAATCCTTTAAAAATAAATAAATAAAAGCATATGTGTGTGTGTGTTTTTTGGATCTGTAATTTCTCCATCATTTATAGCAATGAAACTACTACATCATAATTTCCAGAAAAATAATGATGTTTTGTTACAATATTTATATCATTTTGGCAGTACATTTATTTTAAAATAATGTAGTTCAAACAAATTTTCAAAATAATCTGCATTTTAGAAATATTAGGGCCTCCCCTTGTGGCACAATGTTTGAGCACTGGGCTACGAAGCTGCCCACAGCCTCTGCAGTGCCAGTTCAATCCCCGGCCATTGGTGAGGGTCCCACATGATGCACAAGACCTCTCCTGCCCCACCCGCTGCTCCCCTCAGCAGTGTATTTCAGTCAGTCTGCCTGTTCTGTTCCCTGCTCTGGCTCTGGTGAATTCTCTAACCCTCCCGTACTTCTGGCTGTATCCAGTGCTTGTATAAATAAATAAATAAATAAAGCTTAAAAAAAGTTAAAGACTTTAATTAGCTGTATTAATTGACTCATGAATTAGACAGCATCTTACCTGCAAGTAAAGCACTGCAAAATGTTACTCAAAATTGAAAGTTTTGCAGTCAAAAAGAGGATGGAAGAAAGACATTAGCATAAGAAAATAATTTATAGTCTTCATAAAAATTGAAATTTCTGAGTGAGTGTGCATCATATATGAATATTGTCTATTAAAGTTTGCAAAATATGTGTCTATTAATATTTTATTAATGTATACCTTATATGTATATATTGTATTTAAAACATGAAATGATCTGTTTATTGAAATGAATTATGCTTAGAATTTTAATATATTGATACCATTCGTAGGTGAGTTTATGTAAAGAGGAAAATTTGTTTTTTTTTTTTTTCAAATAAGACACAAAATTTCTTCTGCCTATTTTCTACATAATTTGAGCCTCATTTAAATGCAGCACTGATTAAGAATGTTCTATAACATGTCAATCGTGTCAATCTTAATGCTTAAATCCATATCTCTACCAATTTTCCTGTAAAACGATATAAGCAACTGTACATTTTAATACATATATATGTGCTTCATTCATATTTCAAGTATTAATTCTACTACTGCTTAAAATAAATTTTCTCAACATGTAATGGACAACTATTCCAACTCACATTTCACAAATCAGATGTTCTTTTAAATAATGGGTTATAGCCACATTTAATGGCATGATGACCACAAATAGACTGTATAGAGGCCAGCCTAGTTTGTAATTATATCATGTCATAAAAACTGTAAATTGTGTATGTTTTCTGAAATTCAGATTTATAAACAATTAGACATTATAAATTATTCAATTGTGTAAAATCTAGTTACACTCATAACAGGGTTTGGGATCTTAATTAAAGAAAATATTTTTGTCTCTTTTGAGATTAAATTTGAATATGGAAACTGGGTTAAAAGATATATCAATAAAACAAAGTTTTAAAAATGGGCTCGATCCTTAAATCTCATCCCAGTTAAAAAAAATGACTTTTCCATGGTAACTCAAGAAGTCATTTTTGCCAATAGTCACCAACATATGGAAGAAACTTTTAGAATTAGGCTCAAGTTAAACCCTGTATTCCTCACCTAAGGTCCATCTTGGAATCAGGTGCAATAAGATGATTTTATTAGCAATAAGAGCTGCATAGACAGTGACCTTGATAAGTTGCCAAATATATTTCTAAGCTTGGGTGTCATACTGAATTTTCCAAGATTTTACTACCACACATAAAAAGCAAATTTCTCTAGTCTCCCTCACAAATCAGTTTTCTCAAAATCTTTTATGAAAATGACTATGAACTATACATCTATTTCTTATCTACAGACTTAAAGCTAATTTTATCACACAAAAGTGAAACATGAATGAGTAAAAATTGAATATGCAACTTCTCAAAAAATATAATTCCTGAACTCAGATGCCTACTAGCAAGGAAATATATATATTTTAAATATAGACATTTAACTATGCATATGTGTGTGCAAATGTGTATGTAATATATATGTATATATATACACATATATATGAATATATATATATATATAGGAAAAAAATAAAAACCACCTCTTCATATCTGGAAAACAGTAAGATTTAAGATGATATTTAGCTAAGAAGCCACAGATATCTTTTATAATGTATTTTAGGGCCTGCCTGGTGATACAAGGGGTTAAGCACCACACTGAGGCGATTTGCAGCCTCTGTGGCATGAGTTCAATCCCCGGCCAGCCAGGGAGCTGTCCACATGGCTCAGCAGACCTCTCCTGGCTTGCCCACTGCTCCCCTCAGCAGTATATTTTAGTGTATCTGTCTGTTCTGTTTCCCGCTCTGTCTCTGGTGAATCCTCTCACTCCGGCATCTCTGGCCTGTACCCCAGTTCTTGTATGCATAAATAAATAAATCTTTAAAAATAAAGAAAAAAGAAACTGCAATTAAAAATGATAATAAAGTATTTCAAATGTATGGACTTGCTATATAAAAGTATGGCAGAAAATAATTGTACAAAATAAATCTTAAACACACCTCTTGATATTGTTGAACCACTTGTTCTGGAGTATCTCCTAGAAAGATGTAAAAGTCCAGAATCCCACCAATAACTCTGTAAGTTACTATTGGGGTAGGCTGGATGAAAACCTCTATAAAAAATCACAAAAAAAAAAAGATATAAATACTAACAAGGTACACACAGTATTTTACCATAACTACAAATTTTCACATTGTTGTTAAATACATAAAAGGATATAAGATATTAAAAATAGGAAAGATAGGGAGCCTCCCTGGTGGCCCAAGGGGTTAAGACACAACCTATAAAGGTGTCTGCAGCCTCTGCAGCATGAGTTTGATCCCCCTGCAGGCCAGGGAGCAACCCACATGGTGCAGGAGACCTCTCCTGACTGGCTTGCTGCTCCCTCAGCAGTGTACTTTGGTTAATCTGCCTGTTCTGTTCCCCATTCTGTCTCTGGTGAATCCTCTCACCCCCACACCTCTGGCCTGTAACCCAGCTCTTGTATGCATAAATAAATAAATCTTTAAAAAAATAGGAAAGATATAGGAGAAAAGTAGAAAAACACTACAGAGTAAGGTTTATTTTAGGATATCCCAGATGAATCCTTTTACAGATGTTGGCAAATGCTCCTATGATCTTGCATAGGAAAATCCAGAGAATGAATCATCTTACAACAAAAATATTTCTTTCTATATGTGTATTTCAGTTGATTATTATAATTGGAGAATTTCAGAAAGAATGTGCTATCAAATATTAACTTCAAGAAAAAAATCATAAAAGCATTTTTTTGTTTGTATATAAGACATAGCAATTACCTGAATAACCATTATCACTGATATATCTATTAAACATAAACATTACACTCACAATATTTGAATACTTGAATACAATACTTGAATACTTAAATACAATAAAACTTGAATTATTTTAAACCAAAATTAAAAATATTCTTCCTTCTTTCAATCCCCATATAGATCTTTCTCCTTTTTATTTGTAGTGGCAGGTTAACTTACCTTCACATTGAGACTGTGGGAATGGAGGTATTCACTGGCTTGCATATGTTTCAAAGTAGCTCTAAAGGTTAAACAAAGTACCTAAATAGCACAACATTGTGTACTCTAACCAAAATGAAAGGACATGTACGCAAAAATCCATTGCCTAACTAACTAAAAAACCTGTGCATAATAATTTCATAATCTAAGCTGTTAACAATTGTTTATTTTTTGATTGGAGTTAAGAGGGAAGTTAAAATAATTCAAGTTCAATTGCATTTAAATATATTATCAAGTAAATTAGTCTTACCCATTGCATTACTGTTCATTAAGAAAACACCAAATGACTTTCCAGATGTATCCTCAATGCACATAAAGAATGTTTGATGGCCATATAAATTATTATTATTCTAAAAGCAAAAATTTTAAAATTAAAATGCTAGTATATTTAAATAAAATAGTATCTATTTTAAAATAACCTACTAATTTCATTTTTATTTTGCTCACTTATATCTCTATATGCATTTCTCTGCCAGATGAAACACTACAAACATCCAACTTTTTACTATATCAAAGTATAAAATATATAACATAATATACTATTATTAGAGTATTTGAAGTTACTTTATATTTATTATGATTAAATGAATTTTAATAAGCTATTCATGATAGGGTAATTACATATCTATCCATCAACGACAATGCAAGCCAAGGCACTAGAGAGAAAGGGAAAAAAAAAGGACAAAATTTCTTGTTTGTTGGATATGGAACTTCAAAGGAAAGAATATATGGAGACTAGTCGATGGTTTCAGCCTGGTGTTCAATAGAAATATGTTACAAATAGTTATTCTGTAAAAAGGAAATAGTAGAATTTATTAGTAGATCTATACAGGTGCAGACTCTTTAAAACACTTATTCGTTTTGAGAATGAAATAGTATCAACATGTGAAAAGAAACCATAATATTTGACTCAATACAAAATTGTGCAAATTTCTCAAAAGAAAAATTTAAATGCTGTAATCTTTGTCCTGAATTATCACATATTATAGAAATATAGGTAAATATATATACAAATAATACACGGTGATGATTTTCATACTGAAATACAAATAGAGGGATATTTGCATGGGGGGTTTATGAGAAGTACTTACAAGGTGAAATTTCAAACTCACTCTTAATGACTTATCATGTAAATGATCAAGGAAAACATACTTTAGTACTTATAAAGAGAACAATCCCCCTGTTCATACACATGAACTTATGAAAGATTATCATATGTTATAGAAAAGGAGAAAGTGAGCATACGTATGTATGCTCATTGGGCACATTATGATGCCACATAATGTATGTGGATCTATACAAACTCATGTTGAACATTGTTTAAAACTATTCAAAGTCCAGAATTAACCATGAATAGGTTATTAACCATGAATAGGTTATTAACCATGAATAGGTTATTAACCATGAATAGGTTAATACTATAATAAATAATAATAATAAATATAATAAAATACAAAATGAATAATAAAAATAAAAATATATATAAAATGATGAATAATAAAATATAAAATGTGAAAATCAAATGATAGAATCTATAAACTGGAAATAACATTCATGAAACTTTCAGTTAAAGCATTAATTTAGGACTTTTTTTTTCATACCCACTTCTAAAATAAACAATCTTCTGGATTAGGTAACACTGACATCAAATAAATGATTGTTTAAAATAGGCTAAAGTTATCTGCTCGGATTTTATTTCATTTATAAGATAGTTCCTTACACCACCAGGAAGTTGATCTCGTGTAAAAATTGGCCATGTTTTCCAATATAAATCATGACGAAATCTTTTATGAATATGTTCTCCAAAACCATACATATATTCATTGGCAAGTTTGGCTGAGATCTGTAAATACTGGTTAGAGTATACCAGGGGACCAATGCTGGTGTCAAACCTGTATGGTGAAAGAAATCAACAAACGTTCTAAAAAATACTTTAATTGTTCTACAAAGCTTAGATCTATGCTAACAATATCTAGTTTTCATTTTGATATGGCAATCTTTAGCTGTGATTATTTCTTACAACACAAATTAGGCCATTCCAAAACTTGTTAATTCTAATACACAATTTGTTTCAAATTGTTACAATGCAACTTATTACGCCATCACCAACATAATCATTTGCATGCATTTTCTCCATTAATCATCATAGTCCTAGAGCATAACTACTCTGATTACTCTCAATCCACAGGAGGCACTACTTGGGTGTTTTCTAAGGTGACAAACTGATTTTAAGCAAAGTCAAATTTCAATCCTAGTTGTTCTTTGTTTCAGAGGCAAGGTTTTAAAATACAGTATTTACTTGTTTCTACACTTCTAATATATGCTAAAATAAATTCAAAATCATTTTCCAAAAAGAAAAAAAATATATTTTATTTTATGAATAACAAATATATACCACAAGAAATGATAAATGGAATTTAAAATTCTGTGACAATATATAGCAATGGTAAATTAGTATACAATTGTTAAATATTAATGTTGACAATTGTTTAATTAACCTTCCTTTGATATGCAAGATAATTTATCTTGAAAATTACTAAATTTTATCCCCTTATCTCCCAATATATTCATAACAAAGGAATTAGAGCAATATTTTCACACACACAAACACACACATATATCGACAATATATATATGTATTTTTCTTACTACCAAGAAAATCAGCTCCTTGGGGACTACCTGGTAGTGTAGGGGTCAAAGTCCGAGTGCTATCAAGCTATCACCAGCCACATGGTGCAGCAGAACTCTCCAGTTTCACCTGCTACTCCCTTTCGATGTGTATTTTGGTAGAACTGCCTGTTCTACTCCCCACTCTGTCTCTGGTGAATCACCTCCCCTCCAGCACCTCTGGCCTAGACCCCAGTTCTTATATGCATAAGTAAATAAAAATAAATCTAAATATGATTAGCTCCTCTCATAGTAGTAATTATTTGATTCTATAAATGAACAATAGACTATGGTATTGGAGAAAGGAACCAACAAAAGAGTTCTAGATTAGAAAAACATAAATTAAGGGTATGATTATATGATTCTCTAATGTTTTTCAACTTCACCTTGGATTAGTTCTAATATGAACATATTCATTCATATACATACACATTTATCCACAGGATATAAAACCCCTCAATCATTACAATCACAAAAATATATATCGGGCCTCCCTGGTGGCGCAGCGGTTGAGTGTTTGGCTGCGAAGCTGCCCGCAGCCTCTGCAGCGCCGGTTTCCCGGCAGCCAGGCAAGGGTCCCACAAAGCGCGCAGACCTCTCCTGCCGCCGCCCCCTGCTCCCCTCAGCAGTGTGCTTCGGTCCCTCTGCCTGTTCTGCTCCCTGCTCTGGCTCTGGTGAATTCTCTCACCCTGACTGTACCCAGTACTTGAATAAATAAATAAATCTTTTAAAAAAATAAATAAATAAAAATAAAAATATATACCTACCCAATTTGGGAAGAAAATTTATTCTTTCTGAAATTTTCTCAAAGACTTTCTTAATTCTATTTTAACAAGATTAAATTGACCCATTATTTAAATGTAAATAAATGTAAGATATGATAATTACTTACAAAGTTTTCCCATTGCTCTTTCTAATAACTTTAATGCTAAATGGATTTTCTGTAACATCTACTTTATACAGTGTGTCAGAGGCTGCAGTTCCAGTAAATTTTTTTACAAACTGATGAGGAACTTCATATCTTGCATCATTTGGATCAGTAATCTGTAAACAGTTAAACAAATTAACATTACGTGATTCAAAATTATCACTTAATTTTTCAATTTTATATTAGATATTAAATGCAAGCTTCAAATAGAAAAAAAAAATATTATGTCACCAAATGGTGATAGAGGAGGTTCCTTATTTCATTAATGAGAGGAACATTTAACAATTAACCAAAGGGGTCACTACACCTACAGATTCTCTCAGTTGATGTGATACTAAAGCACCCTTTGTATGTCAGACAACATCATCGACTGAACTAGGGGTAACATAGAGGAGATTCACATTTCATTGAACACAAAATGGAGGGAGGGGAAGGAAAATGCCAGGAGTCTCTGACTTAGCATGGGGGACACAATATACAGGATGTTTAGCTCAGTCAGGGATCCTGGTGAAGGGAGAGTGGAATGGTTTAGAGACATATAATCTCAATTAAGGTGACACACATATGGAAGAGCTGGGATGCTCCACAGACTAAGTCCCCATTATAAAAAGAACAGAGAATATGCTTTAGACAGTACTCCCGTTCCCTACTTTCAGAACATTCAATTACCTCTTGAAGAACATTGTCAGTAGAAAGACTACTGAGTCTTAGATATGGGGACTCAGGAGGAGGGATATTATCAACGCACAAACAAAGCCCAATTGCCCCCTCAGTATACTCATGCTGGTGCTAGACTTATCAAGAATTCTCCCCACCCTTCTGATTCAATAAGAGTAAACAGTTCTCAGTGACTACAGAAGTTAAAAAAGGCCAAAGAAATTAATTAAATCAATAAAGTCATAGCACCATGTGTAGAAAATGTAAAAGGAGACCATCTCTCTTAAGAAACTACACATTTTATAAAAAATGGGGAAATTTAAAGCAGCAAGAATGGCAGACAAAAAAATGCAGCACATAGTAATTCCAGAACTCAAGGAAATATGTCATTAAATAGAAAGAACAACTCTTACTCAGAAAAATGATAATTAATCATAGATAGAACAAAACTTAAATGATAATAAAATGATCTCAAAAATAAAATTATCAAAAGGGGATAAAATTGAATCTTTGAATAAAAAATAACAGAGATTCAGGATGTAAAGAACTCAAAAAAAAAAAAAAGAGATCAAGCTCTCAAGAGAAAGCGATGGAAGGAAAACTGACCAAATGATAATAAAGTCAGTGCTCACTAACATAATAATGTGTAAAGGATACAAGTAGAAGAAAAGAGACAAGACAGAAAAAAATGAAGAAATTCAAGAATTATATAATTCTATTAGTAAGGGTAACATAAGAAAAATGGGAAACAGATATCATATCAAAGCATTCAAAGAAATAATAGAGGGAAAAAAAATCAAACCTAGGGAATGAGCTAAATATGCAATTCCATGAAGGTAGAAGAATGCCAGATTTTCTAAATGAAATTACCCTTGTACAAAGATAGACAGTTGTGAAACTATCAAGAATTCAATAAAAAGAACACTAAAGTGAGCTAAGGGAAGACAACACACCTGCACACATAAACATATACACATACAACTTAGCTCAGGGGTTAAGTCTCACCACTATCAAGCTATCACCAGCCACTGTGGCATGAGTTCAGTTCCTCAGCTAACCCACATGGTGCATCAGACCTCTCCTGACTTGCCCACTGCTCCCCTCAGCAGTTTATTTCAGTACATCTGCCTATTCTGTTCCCCACTCTGTCTCTGGTGAACCCTCTCACCACTCACACCTTGGGTCTATACTCCAGTTCTTGTATGCATAAATGAATAAAAAAATAAATCTTTTTTTTTTAAAGATTTATTTATTTATTATTTATAGAAGCACTGGGTACAGTCAGAAGCGCGGGAGGGTGAGAGAATTCACCACAGCCAGAGCAGGGATCAGAGCAGGCAGAAGGACCAAAGCACACTGCTGAGGGAAGCAGTGGGCGGCAGGAGAGGTCTGCGCGCCATGTGGGACCCTCCTCCGGTGGCCAGGGAGCAGCCGGGGATCAAGCCGGCGCTGCAGAGGCTGCGGGCAGCTTCGCAACCCAGCACTCAACCACTGCGCCACTGGGGAGGCCCAAAATAAATCTTTTCTTAAATGTCATGACATATTCTAAACACAGAGATAAAAAACTGCCACCCTATAGCACTATATTCTACAAGAATATCTTTCAGGTATCAGGGTGAAATAAAAGCCTTTCAAAAAACAAATTGAAGTAGTTGGTGAATATTTCTTTCTCCTAAAGAAATGTTGAATGATGTGCTCCTATTTAAGTCAAATGAATGAAAATTTGCCAAAAAATGAAGAAAAAAATAGATAAAATGACAACAGTAAATACAAAATTGCCATAGCAAATAACTTACTTGTAAATAATCACACTAAATGTAAATGGGCTGAAATATTAATCAAACGTAGTGGGAAAAAGCCCAACTATAAGCTATAAGATAACTTTCAATGGAAAATTAAAAAAGTACAAGAACCATTAAATTATCAGATAAAACAGACTTTCAGTCAAAAAAGACCAGGAGACAAAGACAGACATTTTATTATAGTAAAAGGAACAATAAAACAAGGAGACATAACTATTATCCATATATATGTACCCATATATATGTACCCAATAAATAGAACAAATATTAACAGATAGAAATTGATGGCATTACAATAATAGCAGAGGACTTCATGTCGCTTACAGCAATTGACAGATCACTGAGAGAGGAAATCATCAAGAAATATTGTATGAAAGTGACAAATGAGATGACATAGTCTTACTAGATATTCTGTAACATACTGCCCCAAAACAAGATAATATATAACTTTTCAATTGCTTATTTTCTCAAGAATATTCTCAAGAATAGATCGTATATTTAGACATATAACAATTCTCAATGAATTTATGCAGATTGAAATCATATTGAGTATTTTTTTTGATCATTATGACCTGAAATTAGAAATCAAAAAAGAACCAACAGAAAACAAAACAAAACACACAAATTGTGGAGAATACACAACATACTATTGAATGACAACTACTGGATCAATGAAAAAATAAAAGATAAAATAAAAAATATACCTGCAAATAAAGATGAATACATGACTTATCAGAAATTGTTAGGTGAAACAAAATAGTTACAAGAGGAAAGTATATAACAATATAGGTCTTCTTCTGGAAAAATGAGAAATTGCATATATAAAATTACACTTGAGGCCTCCCTGGTGGTGCAAGGGGTTAAATCTCAGCACTATCAAGATATCACCAGCCAATGCAGCATGATGAGGTCAAGCCCAGGTCAGAGAGCTGACCCATATGGCAAGGCAGACTTCTCTTGTCTTGTGCACTGCTCCCCTCAGCAGTGTGTTTCAGTCAATCTGCCTGTTCTGGTCCCCACCCTGTCTCTGATGAATCCTCTCACCACCACCAACACCTCTGGCATACACCTCTTATATGCATAAATAAATAAAATAAATCTTAAACACAATTGCAAGGAAAAAACAGAGAAACTGTAAGTAACATCCCAAACCATCAGAAGTGTTAACTGTCCTAAGTCCCCCAGACTCTCTTTGGCTCCAGTATATGAAGGAGAGTACATAATTCTCATCCAGAATATAGCCTATTCAACTATTTGATGAGGTTTACACAGGCCAACAATGATTAGGTTCAACATTGGGGAGAACCATTTTCTGCCACCTACATAATCTCTGTGCTCCCAGGATTTTCTGTGCAAAATGTGAGCAGCTGGGAAAGAAAGCCACTCTCTCTCCCCAGGCAACAGCCACGCTGTCCCCAGTGCACATAGAAAGAACTTGGGGATAGCCACCATGAATTCAGTCTGTTCACTATGTTGTGTGTATGTATATGTGTGTGTGTGTGCATGTTCACCTTGGACAGTTAACAGAATCATAGGCTCAAATCCAGCCCCATTTCTTCTGCTTGTTCCACAATGCATGGGGAAAACATGAAAATTCTGGGTATAGCACTATTATCTCTGGTGGCATTGTCTCCTAGATCACTTTGCACACCTATCTTTTTCTTTTTTTCCCACTCTGAGAAAGCTCTAGCCTTTACACAAAGTTCATAGAAGGAAACTTGAATTGTCACAGTGAATATAGTCTTTCTAGCAGGTTCTCTGCATCTACTTTTGGGAGTCAGTGGAAGAGCAGGCTTAAAAGAGGTATGATTTCTGGTGCCCATTCCCCTGCACACAGGGAAAATACAGGATCTCCTGACACAGTGTCCCTACAGATAGAGAATTTTGATGGCAGGGGGCTAGTAAACCCCCCACATAGTGTATAGAAGGAAACTGTGGGCAGCTATAATGACTACATTCTTCCCAGTGATTTCTTTGTTCCTGCCTTGGATAGTCAGCTGAAAAAGTTGGCCTGGGATTTGTGTGATTTATGTTTCTTGTTTCCTGACACAATGGGAGAGTACAGACCACCCAATATGACCTCAGGTTCAGGACAGAATGTATGGTCAGAAACTATCAGTAACTAAAGTGAACACAGCCTATAAGCAAATGGTAGCCTGGTTGCTAGTGGCCAGGGTAAGGAGTAAGGAGCAATGCCAGTCTCCTCCAAGTATATTTTCTTGGTCTTCCAATGAAGCCCCCAAGTTGCTACTATTAGAGAGTGCGTGTCCCCTATGGAAAATATCTAAAACAGCAAATGGGAGAGAGAAAATTATAACATTCAGCAACTTCAGACCTGAAGGGAATATGACATCATAAGTAAGGAACTATTCTCCAGAAACCAACCAGAAAAATTTTAGAAAATTGTATTCTACCAGAGAGTTCAAAATTGCCAAAAAAAATAAATTCAAAGAAATGGAAGAAAAGGTAGGAAATATTATAATGAGAAATACAATTATTGACCAGAAATCAAAATATTTAAGCCAAAAATAAGAGAGCTTTAGGATTTGAAATGATCAATAGACGAGATAAATAATTCTGCATAAAGTTATGGAAGCAGACTAGGCCAAATGGAGAAATGATCTAGTGACCTTGAAAATAATAATGCACAAAGAATATAGGTGGAAGAAGAAAGAGAACTGCAAAGAGAAACATGGGGAAAAAACCCACAAAAAACACTTTGAGACCTATCAAACTCCATTAGGAAAGGAAACAAGGGTAATGGGTATCCCAGAATGTGAATAAAGTGAGAAAGATAATTTATTCAATGAAATATGGTGGAACATTTCCTAAACATGGGAAATAAAGTAAATATACATATTCATGAAGATATGAGAACTAGTGGATTACTAAACCAATTGTTTAGTAATAAGACCCAAACCAAAACACATAGTCATGAAACTAGCAGGAGTTTAAGACAAAGAAGGAATATATATTGTGGCTTGAGAAAAGAAAAAAGAACATATAAAGGGAATTCCATTAGGCTTACAACATCCTTCTCATAGGTAATTCTATGAGCAAGTAGAAAATGTACAGAAAACACTGATAAGAATTGTAATTCAAGAGCACCATATCTTACAAGCATCTCCTTCAGATTTGAGGGAGAAATAGAAGTTTTCCTATTTATAATTGTCTATTTTTGCTTTGTTGTGTTTTGTCCTGTTATTATTTTTTTATACTGATGTCTCATTTGGTTCCCCTATATTCCTGCAGAGACATACTGCAGGGGAGGAGGAGGGAGAGGGATCAAAGGGAGGGAGGGAGGAGCACAGGGGACTGTGGTGATGGAGCACGGGTGCATTGGGGAAGGAAATTCTATGGGGACTACACCTGAGGGAATGGGGGGAAGCAAATATTGTTTAAAAATGAACAATGATATAAAAATTTAAAAAATAATATATTAAAAAACAAAAGAAATAAATGTGTTTTGTGCTAAGTGGCACTAAATTAAAAAAAAAAAATCCTGAACAAACAGAAGCTAAGGAAGTTTTCCAAAACTAGACCTACCAGCTTAGAAATGTTGAAAAGGACACTATTATATACCAACAATCACTCTAAATGCAATGAACTGAATTTATCAAACCAAAGTCAGAGAGTGGCCAGTTAATTTTTCCAATTGGAAAAAATTCCAATTGGATCAAAAAGCAAAACTTAAGTTCATGATGTCTCCAGGAGACCCATTAAGGTCCAAACATAAGAGTAGACCAAATATACGCCATGAAACAATGCTACAAGCAAATGGATCACTCCCCCACCTCAAAAAAAAAAAAAAACAAACAAACACATGAACAGCCATAGTGACATCAGATAAAAATGACTTCAAACCAAAAAAAAAAATATGTAAAAACTAATATATATATATATTATATATGTAACATACATATATTACATATATATATATGTAACAAGAGGCAGAAATACATACTACATAATGATTATGAGGTCGGGCCTCCCCTGGTGGAGCAGGTGGTTGACCTCAGCACTGTGAAGCTGTCCACAGCCTCTGCAGCACCTGTTAGATCCCAGCCAGCTAGCGAGGGTTCCACATGGCGTGGCAGACCTCTCCTATTGTGCCCGCTGCTCCCCTCAGCAGTGTATTTCATCAGTCTGCCTGTTCTGTTCCCTGCTCTGTCTCTGGTGAATCCTCTCACCCTCCTGTGCATCTGGCCTGTACCCCGGTTCTTGTGTAAAATAAATAAAATAAATCTTTAAAAAATGATTATGGGGTAAATACATCTGGAAGACATTATAATCATCAGTATATATGTACCAAAAAATGAACATCAACATGTATAAGGGAACTAGAATTAAATATGAAACCATAAATTGAAGCAACACAAAAATGGTTGAAGACTTAACCTCCTCACTTTCACCTATTGACAGATCATTCAGACAGAAAATTAACAAGGACATAATAGTCTTAGGCAAGAGAAAGAAATGAAAGGGATCCAAACTGGAAAAGAGGTAAAACTATCACTCTTACTGGGTGACATGATAATTTACATAGAAAGTCCTAAAGACACCACTAAAAAACCTAATTGAAATAGTAAGTCAATAGAGCAATGTGACAGGGTAAACAATCAATACAGAAATCAGTTACATTTCCATGACTGAGCTAGAAGAGAAAGAAATCAAGTAAGCAATACCATTCACAGTTGTAGCAAATTATTAAAAGCATTAAACATGTAGGAGTAATGTTAACAAAGGAGTTGAAGGAACTATATTTGAATACTATATGATATTGTTAAATGAAATAAAAGGCATGAGAATATGGAAAAATAGTACCTGATCATGAAATTAAAGAATTAACATAGTTAAAATGACCACATTACCCAAAGCAATATAGATATTCAATGCAATTTCTATCAAGCCTACAATGGAATTCTTCAAAAAACAAACATTACTGAAATTTGTAATGGAACTGCATAAGAACTCAAATAATCCAAATTTTCCTGAAAGAAGAAGAATGAGTGGTGGTTTCAATTCTATCACATAGTAAATTAAACTATTGATAATAATATACCCTATTGAAAGGAAGAAACATGCACATCATACATATGACAAAGGGCTGCTATCCAAGAAAACAAAATGGAGATTTCTTACATCACTAAGAATGAAACTTGACTATTATCTAAACATATACAATAATTAATTTAAAATGAATAGAAGATTTGGATTTAAAGACCTGTAACCATAAAATACACAAAAACTTAACCCATATGTTTCTTGACCTGGACTTAGAAATGAGTTTAGTGAATCAACTCTAATGGTAAGAGAAACAGAAGTAAAAATAAGTAATTGGGAACTGTGAGAATGGTTCATAACTACAAAGATCAGAAACAGGTCCTGATAAGGATGTAGAGAAAAGGGAACCCTCTTACACTGATGATGGTAATAAAGAAATATACAGCCCCTAGGAAAAGCAGCATGGAGGTCTCTCAAAAGATTTAAAATGGATCTGCCATATGAACAGGCAATGTCACTCCTAGGAATCTGCCCCCCCCAAAAAAAAAAATTCTAACTGGAAACTTTATTACAGCAATGTTGACAACAGTCACTATGGAAACAACCCAGGTGTCCCAAGACAAATGAATGGATAAAGAAGATGTATAACTATACTGAAGAATATTACTCAGTGATCACAAAGATAAACTCATGTCTTTTGCAGCAACTTGGTTGGAGCTTGGAAGGATAATATTAAGTGAAATAAGTTGGAAGGCAAAAGATAAATGCTGGATAATGTCACTTATATGTGGAATATGGAGAAACCAAACTAAGGGTCAGATAAAGCCAAGATTAAAAACTGACCTTTGAAAGCTGACTATAGAACTGAGTTAGTGGCAGGGGTTGGCTTGGGGGAGATGTGAAAGCAAAGGGGAGGGAGCATATAGGGCTATGGTACTGAAGTAGTGTGAATTGGAGGCAGGTGCATGATGATGGTGATGCCTGAAGGAGATACCCACAATAATGTAAGCAAACATTAATTCATTTAAAAAATTAAAAATAAATATAATAAATTTATATTTATTATCAATGAACTATTAATCTAGTCATAACTAATTATAGATTTTTTTAAAAGTTAGACACAGGATTAATTACTACAGAAAAAAAACAATATTAGTTGGCCATAAACTCACTATGTACAAAATAAATATTTAATTAACTGATATTTAAAATGACATTACTAAATAGTAATTCATGAATACTGGACATGTGTGAATTCAATTATCCTTAGTACACTTGAGTATAAACTCCCTTAGATATCTCATAAGGATTTCATTTTTTTATTTAAATATTTTATTTTATATAATTCTTACATCTTTTTTTCATCTTTGCACAATGTATGCATTTTCATTTTGGTTATATTCCCCATACAATTGCACCCCCCCCTTATTTTGACTCTAGTCCTTCCTTCCATGCCCACCCCCCCACCCCCATAGTGTGTCTCTGGTTTATAGTTGCTTGTTGATTTTGATTTTTACTTTGTATTGATTAGTCTTTTTCCTGGTCTCTTATTTAGGTTTTCTAAAGTCCTGCTATGAGTGAGACCATCTGGTATTTTTCTTTTTCTTTCTGACTTTTTTTGCTGAGCATATTCCCTTCTAGCTCCATTCATATTGCTGCAAACTGCCTGTGTTTATCATTTTTGATTGCTGAGTAATATTTAATTGTGTATATGTACCACATCTTCTTGATCCAGTCATCTATTTTTGGGCATTTGGGTTGTTTCCATAGCTTAGCTATTGTAAATAGTGCTGCTATAAACATAGGCAAGAAGGTACTCTTTTTAATAAAAAAAAAAAAAACAATTCTTGAGAAATTGTTGCTTAGAGAATATATACAAAAGAATACCGTGCTGTTTTCAATTGTAAATTCCAGAGAATATACTAGTAAACTAATTACCAAAAAAGAACAGGAATTAGTTCCATTGAACTCATTAATACAGGTAACAACATTAAAGATAAATAGCTTAATCTGCATTTAAATAGCCATCAACAGTTTTCTTAAATTTTAATCAACTCATTCATCACAGTCTGTAGTTGAAATTATAAAGAAAAAATACTAAATTTTGTTGAGTTTATTCTTCTTAATAATCTTAATATTTGATATTTTATCAACATTTTATGTAACTATACTTTTAAATGCTCTAAACAAAACTGTGGAGGAACTATTTCCATTATGATGTATTTGAGTAAACAAGTTCTGAGACGGGGAGTAACTAGCTCAGCTGGTCCTATGTCTTGTAATAATTATTAAGAGGAAAAATAACTTGGTAGGGTGAAGGATGTTCTGACTATCTGACTTTTATCATTAATTAGAATTTCAAAAACAAACCTTGAAATGGAGACGATTGCGTGTCTGACTCTCAGTTGTGAGGAGAAGATTGTTAATATCACTTCCAAATAATGTAGGTGAAGGTATCCTCTTTAATTTGGCCTCAAGTCCTTAAAGGGAATATTAAAAAAAAAAAAAGGCCGACATAATTATGACTTTATAAAGATAAATAATTTTTAAATATTTTCATACTTTATAATTTTATTGACTTTCTCTCAAATAATGTGCTTTTCTTTTTATAATTTGGAACATGCAAAAAGTAAATCCTTACTATAACTAACTGAACATATTTTCAAACATAATTTATTTTTCTTAAAAAATAGAAGCATTTTTGTCAATCCACCTAAAATACCATGCCAGAGGACTTCTCACCAGTACTTGTTGTTGTTGTCTTTCCTAAAGCCTGGTAGCCATGGTTACTTGCGAAGAAGCACCAAGGAACAATAGTGTTATTCCAGGGCCTCCAGCAGCAACCTCGCTTAGCACATATTTCCTAAAAAAGCAAACAAACAAAACAAAACAAAACATTCATTAAAGGAATCTTGATTTGTACTGTTATACTGAGTATCAGTTTCTATTTTAAACATCCATTCATCCAACATGTTTTAGTATAAAATTAAAAAAAAGTATTTCTTCAAGTATCATTATGTTAAAATAGAAATGATTCTTTTGCTCCTATCACTTGGAATAAATATAACTACTCAATGAACTGATTGTTAGAACTTTCTACTAGAGATTGCATGTCTAAGCTGTGATTTCTCAAATTCAGTATGTGTTACCAGTTTGAATATTTTAAAGTTTTCTGCCTTCTGGTAACTTATTTTTTTAAGATTTATTTATTTATGCATACAAGAACTGGGGTACAGGCCAGAGGTGCAGGGGGGTGAGAGGATTCACCAGAGATAGAGTGGGGGCAGAATAGGCAGATTGCCTGAAATACACTGTTGAGGGGAGCAGTAGGTGAGACAGGAGAGGTCTGCTGTGCCTTTTGGGTAGCTCCCTGGCCTGTAGGGGATCAAACTCGTGTTGCAGAGGCTGTGGATAGCGTCATAGTGCTGTGATTAACCTGTTGCACCACCAGGTAGGCCCCCTCTGTTAACTTTAATATATACTATTGTCACACTGTCCATGCAGAAAAACTAAAATTTTCATTTCATATCACTTATTTATGAATCACAAGTGAGGCTATACAGAAATGAAGATATAACTGATTTAAGCTTATTTAATATATTTAAGGTAGCTATTTCCAGCTAAGTAGTAGTTTAAAGTTTAATTGTGTGAACTGAGCAGAATTCCTAATAATTTTATCAACTATATAGAAATATAAATTAGAAGAAAAATTATGTATGGTTCTAAAAACGTTGAGCCTGATGGTGGTGCCCTGTGTTGGCATTCATGTAAGTAAAAATCTACTAAATATTTAAATTTAATAGTGTGGCACACTATTTCATAATTTGAAGACCTATGATGTTTTTTATGGTTATTTGCCTTGAGAACAAATTAAAAAAATTAAAAGTCTTCATGTTTATTTAACTTAACTTCTCTCTTATTTTAACACCAAATTGAAATGGCATAAACCACATTTATAGACACATATATGTACAGATACATGTTCAGTGCAAAACGGAGTACAATTGAATCTGACATCTTTGGAGCACCATTACCTATCACAATCAAATACAGAGAAGGCATACTTTTGAGCAGACAATTTTTCCTCTAGTTATTTAACTGATAGAAATACTCCATGGGCCTCCCTGGTGGCGCAAGGGGTCAAGGTACAATGTATGAAGCTATCCCCAGCAACTGCAGTACGAGTTAGATACCCAGCAAGGGAGTTTCCCACATGGCACAGCAGACCTCTCCTGACTCCTGACGTGCCCACTGCTCCCTCAGTAGTGTTTCAGTCAGTCTGGGTGTTCTGTTCTCCACTCTGTCTCTGGTGAATCCTCTCACTCCCCACACCTCTGGCCTGTACCCCAGTTCTTGTATGCATAAATAAATTAATCTTTACAAAAAACATTTCAGCAATACAAAGGGATCATTGTACAAAAACTGTCATTTGTATGTAAACTTTATTTAAAAATGTGATACAACACAGAAAGGTAGAATACATGGATTCATAAAGATAAAACTGCTAAATTTTAAAGACAACAGAAAATCAAACAAATTGATAAATTAAAAATATATAAAGTAGAGTTGTAAAAAGTAGACTATTATTTTTCTAGTGTCATTATTACAGTCATCAATAGGGTGGTTTGAATTTACAAAACTTTATTCTCTCACACTTCTGGGTTCTTAAATAACTATTTCAGGGTCTAGCAGAGACTTGCCTTTATGAGATACTAGGGAAGAACATTTTCTTGTCTATTCCCAAAGGCCCTTGCTTTGTACTTATATCACTCAAATCTCGATTTTCATCTTCAAGTGGTCTACCCTGTGGTCCTCTGTATGTCCTCCCCTCTCCTTATAATAATGACAACTGGATTTAGGTTCCATCCTAATCCACTATTGCCTCATTTAACTAATAGCATTGGCGAAGACCCTATTTCCAAATAAGATCATATTTTAAGGCTACATGTGGACATGAAACTTTAGAGGTCATCATTCAACCCATTACATGTACAGAACAAATTATGTGTTTAAAAATGTTAATGCCCATAAGGGGTAGAATGCTCTTTCCCCCTTCACTCCCTCACCTTCGCTTTTCCTACTTCTGTGTGCATGCACAGAGAAAATGCCATGAAGACACAAGATGCAACTTTTCACAGGTCAGAAAGGCCATTCTAACCAGAAATCAATACTAACACAACTGGATTTCTATCCTCCAGAAGTGTGAGAAAATATTTCACTTAATCTGTGGAATCACTTAATCTGTGGAATTATGGAAGCCCCGAGGACTTGTGCATTCCAATGGAAATATAACTATTTCTTAAATTACCTTAAGTTTTCCAACTTCACTTACAAGGAAAAATAATGTAAAATTTATTAATTGAAATTCATTTTATTCAAAAGTTTATGTTGCTTGACACCCTATGGCAACCTAGCTATTGAAACTAATAATAGGCATCAAAACCTTAAACCATTGACTTTTATTTTTTTTTTTTAAGATTTATTTATTTATTTATTTATTTATACAAGCACTGGGTACAGTCAGAATCACAGGAGGGTGAGAGAATTCACCAAAGTCAGAAGAGGGAGCAGAACAGGCAGACTGAAGAAGTACACTGCTGGGGGTAGCAGTGGGCACAGCAGCAGGTCTGCGCACCATGTGGGACCCTTGTCAGCGGCCAGGGATCGAACCTGCACTGCAGAGGCTGCGGGCAGCTTCGCAGCCCAGCTCTCAACCGCTGTGCCACTGGGGAGGCCCAACCATTGACTTTTAAATGTTTCCCTTTAAGAACATAGCAGCCCATATTGTTCCTTATCTCTTTCTATGTTGATCTTCAATCAATTTCTAAGGAAATATTACTAAAAAGAATATCTGGCCTAGTTTTCTCATTGTGTTGCAGTGAAAACTGTGTTATCTAACTCAATCAAAGTTATAGGATCCACTATTTCTAATGCTGCCCTAAGAAAAACCTCATCTGTTTGCAGTTTTTCATGACAAATGAATCAGAAAACTATGTTAATTATGACATAGGGATAGTAGCAGAGATAACAGAGATTTCATAGTTCACTTAGTTATTTTGTGTGTGGTGGAAGGATGGGGAGAGGTGAGTCATGTATATTTTACACAATAAATAGAGATACTATGCTAAATATGTTATACTATATCATGTATGATAGTGTTAATATAGTGATTAATATATTACACATTCATATTTTAATTATATCATATATACATAATTATAGCATATAGATATTGCAAAATGTGACTACACACACACATACACATTAATTGACCTTTACTCCCACACAGTTTTGGAAAACCAAAGCAGGAAATTTAAGGTTACATGAATCCATTCAGTTATCTTTAATTTTCTTCTTTTGAGCTTCTTCTTTCTTATTACCAAATAATAGTAATTTTTAAAATTCAGTGTTATCTTATTTCCCACAGATGTTTATTAATGCTTTTATTAAAAACACTCTAATTGAACATAAATATTTTCTTCAAATGTTCTATGTGGTAACAATAACAATTTCTACTTTATGAAGTAAATTTCATTAAGGTTTACTTGCTTATTTGTATTAAATTGAGGTACAGAAAAGCAGACTTAGTAATTTCTATTGTCATTTATCCACTTACACAGAGCTATAATAGTAAGACAAATGAAGTTTAATTGATGGCTAGATATTTAAAATATGGATTTCATCCAATATTGATCAAATAATCATAATTAGTACACATAAGTAATATATATTAATATATATCTATTAATAAAAATATCAAGCGCTTTCATTACAGACCTTTGTTGGATGTTGTTCTGGAATGCAATTTATTCTCTCATTGACAGGATCATTTAGTTCACTTGGACATTTGCCTGGACCAAAATTCTCATTTTCTGGGAAAGAAATAAGTCAAAAAATAAAACATTAGGGTCTTTTTTTTCTTTTTTTCAAGTCTTTTGAGTAATTAATATATTAAAATTTACATGAATTTATATGTGATAAAAATAAAAAAAATAATTTTTAAAGGGATCCTGAAATTTAAATCCTATTAAGGAAGAAATACAAATGACATTTAAAAATTTACTTGAAGTGTCCTCTTGATTGTCTCCTCAGAAAAACAAAACATATTCATAGAGGGCTTTGAGGTAGATTCAAAAGGAAATAAAATGTAAATTCCACAGTCTTTCAATATGTGTTTTATAGATTAAGAAAGAAAATACAGGAACATGGATCCAAAAATAAAGGAGAAAAAAAAAACAAATCTAGGGATACATATAGAATAGAAGAGACTATATGGAGTACAAATAAAAATAAATTCCAACCATAAAAAGGAAGTTTTTGTTGTGTGAAATTAAGGTAACATTGGTTTACAATATTACATATGATTCAGAAATACAGGATCCCACCTCTTTCTAACAAACAGATAGAGGTAAGATAAAATGACTTGCTTCACAATGTAGTGTGTTCATTTACTGAAAAAATGTAAAACAGAAGATTAACAGCAGTAGAAAATGCTAACTATGCTTAGAGTAGAAGATAAAAAAGTAATTTCCTTTCCAATTCTGATTTAGTAAACAGTGAATGAAGTAAGACAAGGTGGGTTAGGTGGGCCAGAGTAGCATGCATCAACTCTAAATTAGCATAGAAATCCATAACTATTGTCAAGTAAACTTTATATTAACCTTGAATGTTTTTAACAGTACTTACCTTCATTAGAAGTTGCTAAGACAGCAATTAAAGCAATAGCTATAATAGTAACTATAACAAAGAGGACTATCAGAGTGATTTCTAATCCAGAAAGTTTTTTCCTTGCCATCTAAAGAAAAAAGAAATATGTCAAAAATGTAAAATAGACAACTGTAATACACCAACGTTTATCTTGAAATTATATCCAATATGCCAGTTTCAGCAATTGGGCTGTTACATTTTTATAGCAAAAATCACAAAAATAGTACAGGACTTGGAATTGAGAAAGCACAACTGAATTTGTAAAATATACCTATAAACTAATGTTTAAAGACTAGCATTCAATATTTGCACATGCTTTTCTCTTTCAAATGTACAAGCTATTTATTTCATTGGTAATATTTAGAGAACCTGAATGTAAACCAAGCACAACCAAAAGGACAGCTGAAATATGAAGTTGCTTAGAAAATACAACAGTAAAGTTGAGTTGGTGTTTAACTTTTAATAAGTTAAAATTTCAATATTCTACTTTTGATCAGGAAATCAATAAAAATGATTACACTTTTCTTTTACTAAGGGATGGCTAATAACAATGCATATGACCTGAAGCAAATCCTCTCTTATCTAGAAAAATCAGAATAAAATTAATGACCCAAGGTTAAATCATCCATATGAGTATTCATAAATCATTAATAACTAAAATTATCCATGTACTGTAGGTGGTGATTACAGTGTTCATATTTAGTATCTTATTCATTTTAGGCAAAATATTTGTGGTGGAATTTTATATTTTACATTAATTTTCAAATGAGTAACACTATTAGAGTAAATTGATTTGCTAGAAAAAGTTTACATTTTATAAATGTAACATTCTACTCTCTATAAATAAAACATTTAATCATGTTTAGAGTATTTTTCTAACTCAAAATAATCGGTACTTTCTTTTATATGTAGGGAACAATCTTCTATGAATACATTTTAGTTTGATGAAAGTTACAATGAAGAAGTAGGCAAAGAAAACACTCATATTAAAAAAAATACATAGGGCCTTCCTGGTGGCACAGCAGGTTGAGCACAGTGCTGTGAAGCTGTCTGCAGCCTCTGTAGTACGGGTTTGATTCCCGGCCTGCCAGGAGATTCCCACATGGCATGGTAGACCTCTCCTGTCTCACCCGCTGCTCCCCTCAGCAGTGTATTTCTGTCCTTCTGCCTGTTCTGCTTTCTGCTTTCTCTCTGGTGAATCTTCTCACCCTCCAACACCTCTGGCCTGTACTCCACCTCTTGTATAAAAATAAATAAATAAATCTTTAAAAAAATACATACAAACACACATCTAAATAAATATGTTTTATCTGGATTTAGCATAGGTGCAATATATTCAAAGTGGCAAATGAAAATATGTTGTTTGCTATTTTAAACAAGTGTAGACAAGGACTATTGCTAACATAAATTAAGGGAATACATAATTACCTAGAAACATGAAGTAACATGAAATTACCATGAAACATGAAAAACAGAAATATGTCTTGTAAACTTACCTTATTTCATAGCCTGTTTTGTTTCTATGTTGTACCAAACTTCTTAAGACTGCCAAAGTAATGATCAGGGAAAACTGCTCAGTTATATAGTGAGCTACTCATAAAGTTTTACAGCACCCTCATCAGCCTATAAGGATTTAATGAATTTCTGTTCAATTGTAATTGTAAAACGCCTTAACCCTGAAAGTAGTTTGCATAAATATTTCTCTCTAGAAATCTAAGTTAACTAATAATTGTCTTTTCAAATTGTCTTTGATCTGGAAGTTACAAAATGACCTAATAACATAAAAGCATATATATATACACACATACACACACTTCATTCACTCTTTACTATAATATATATGTACTATATATACTACATATATATAAAAAGTGAATGAAGTGTTTCACTATATATATACTACATATATATATATAGTAAAGAGTGAATGAAGTAAGACTAGGTGGGTTAGGTGGGCCAGAGTAGCATGCATCAACTCTAAATTAGCATAGAAATCCATAACGACTGTCAAATAAACTTTATATTAACTTTATTTTTTTTTAAGATTTATTTATTTATTTATGTAAGCACTGGGTACAGTCAGAAGTGCGGGAGTGTGAGAGAATTCACCAGAGCCAGAGCAGGGAGCAGAACAGGCAGAAGGACCGAAGTACACTGCTGAGGGGAGCAGCTGGCGGCAGGAGAGCAGGAGTGGTCTGCGCGCCATGTGGGACCCTCCTCCAGTGGCCGGGGAACAGCTGGGGATCAAACCAGCGCTGCAGAGGCTGCCCTGCCGGCAGCTTTGCAACCCAGCACTCAATCGCTGCGCCACTGGGGAAGCCCCTATATTAACTTTAAATGTTTTTAACAGTACTTACCTTAATCAGAAGTTGCTAAGACAGCAATTAAAGCAACAGATATAATAGTAACTATAACAAATATATATTTATTTTTGTATTTATAGCACTGATTCAAAATTCAAAAAATGTATTATATACATTTACCATTTCATACAGTGAAAATTATGGTAGTAATTTCACTACCCATTTAAGCTAGTAGAACATTTAAGATTTCATATAAGGATTTCATATAAGAAACCAGGGCACAAATGCCAGCTATAACACACACAGCTGAGAAATCGTGAGAAAATATGTTAATTTCTTCATGAGAAAATATGTTAATTTCTTTCTTAGACTATTTATTTACAAAGCGGAAATCAAAATACCTACCCTTAAGGTCACTGTGAGAATAAAATGAGCTAACAGTCTATTTTCATTATTTTAGTTCTCCTATAACAGAGAGTACTATTTGACTCTGAAATGTTTGGTATCTGACATCTTCATACAATCCTAGCATTTTCTTTTCAAATGAATATATTTTAAAAATATTGTCACTGGAATAGACTAACTAGATTTTTAAGGCAACATATATATGGGTTTAAAGAAAAATAGTAAACGCCACACTTGCATGGAGTACTCTAAGATTCAGGGGAGATATAAAGGTAAAAGTCAATATAGAAAGTACTGATATCTAAATAAGATTAGATCCTTCTAGAATAGCCTCAACAGGCAGAATAAAGTCCAGTGCAATCGAAAATATGAGTGATTTACTCTCTATTCAGAGTACATAAATGCATATGAGAGTATAGCAAAATCAAAAAATACAATTCAATATATGAAAGTAAATCAAAAGTGTTATATAAATTCATATAACAATACCCAATTGGAAACTGAAATATATTTTCATATATATCTAGGAAAATATGTATAAATATGAATGGAAAGATATTTTAAGACAGCATGAAAAATGAGTATTTGCTTGTACATCTAACAAAATATATGCTATATTCTATTTTGAAAACAATAAAATTTTGATGAAATTCAAAAATCATCTAAATAAATAGTGCAATAAAATGTAAGGACTAGAAAACTCAAAAATATTAAACTGTTGATTCTCTATAATGATATCTATACATATAATTGAAAATAAATACAAGGGATTGATATAGATACAGTGTAAATTTTCTGTATCAATGATTAGAACAACTTTATTCATGTTTTCCTCAAATAGAAACAACAACTTTGATTATTGACACCTGGTATAAATATACAATGGCATACTACTCAGCAACGAAAAGCTGGAATATTGATTCACACAAAAAATATGAATCAGCCCTAGAATTCAAATTAGTTGTTTGCATTACAATTTCAGCTTTCTGATTTTATGAGTTTAGTATTGATATATTTAGTATGGTTATCAGTACATTAAACTTCTGTTTTTTATATGCTCTGATTTTTCTGCCTTTAATCTTGCTTGTTTTTTCTGCTTGCTATAGATTCTTTAGAACTTTTATTCTCTCTATTAATGTGGATTAATATATTTAATTTCTACTCTTTCCAGTTTTATTTTTTAATATTTAACGTGCTTAATACAATCCAAAGTTTTTATTACATATTACATGCTACAAATGGCCAATGTTCTAGTTCTAACAGTAAGTATTGCTCTCTTTGGAAAAAGTTTTTTTAACATATCATTTAGATTTAAATTACTTTTTTTTTTTAAAGATTTATTTATTTATACAAGCATTGGGTACAGTTAGAAAAATGGGAGGGTGAGGGAATTCACTAGAGTCAGAGCGGAGAGCAGAGCATGACTGATGAAGGGGAGCAGAGGGCGGCAGGAGAGGTCTGCGCTCCATGCGGGACCCTCACCCAGTGGCTGGGAATCGAACAAGCACTGCAGAGGCTGCAGGCAGCTTCGCAGCCCAGTGCTCAACTGCTGTGCCACCCGGGAGGCCCGATATTTAAATTACTTTTTTATGAATTATTGCTGTTATTTTCTGCTGAAAATTTATGTAATATCAATGGAATTTTTGTGTTAAGAAGGCAAAATATCTTGATTTTCAGTGATACACATCAGAAACTTATGCAATGCTATAAAACAATGTTATGTCAATAAATCAATCAAAATATAGACAAAGTGTGCATATGCATCTAAGTTCACTCTCTTTCAAATATCACTACAATTGTAGTAAAGGATTTGTTTAATCAATCATAAACTTACTTAGGAAAATAAAATTGAGGATACAACAGCAATAAAATTTTGGATATTGGACTGCAGATGGATGATTGGCAATGATCCAGTAAACCAGGAAAGTGAAACTCAAGCTTGCAGTGGGTAAAAATATTCTCAAAAATCACCAATTACTTCTAGAATTTGGGGTAAAGAAAGTAGGAACTGAAACTAGGAACATGAGGGTAAAATCTGACTTGAAAATAAAGTCCAAGGGCCTCCCCGGGTGGCACAGCGGTTGAGCGCTGGGCTGCGAAGCTGCCCGCAGCCTCTGCAGCACCAGTTCAATCCCCGGCCACTGAGGAGGGTCCCCATGGTGCACAGACCTCTCCTGCCGTGCCCGCTGCTCCCCTCAGCAGTGCATCTCATCGGTCTGCCTGTTCTGTTCCCCGTTCTGGCTCCGGTGAATTCTCTTACCCTCCCGCACTTCTGACTGTACCCAGTGCTTGTATAAATAAATAAATAAATCTTTAAAAAAAGAAAAGAAAGTCCAAAAGGATGGCTGATTCTGCAGCTCAGCAGAAGTCTAGAGATTTA